CATTCTGGACTGTGTACGGGATCCCCTGCCGTGGGCAGCCCTGGAGGTCTTGGCCCTCCCCTGGCTGGCTCGGTGGCCCTGGTGTCGTGGTTTGTGGGTTGGATGTATAAGGCCTGGTTGGGCCTCTGGTGTCCCTGTCTGGGGCCCTGGGGCTCGGAACCATCCCAGCCCCTGGCTCAGCAAGTTCTTGCTTGAGTGCTGTCTTTTCTCCTGACTTTGCTGAGTTGGCCTCATTGAGCGCCTGCTGTTTACTGGGCATGATGGCAGAGCTTCCCAAGGCTGCTGTCCTCCCAGCAGGCCGGTGGAGCAGGAGCTCGATACATAGCTGAGGAAGCAGACTCAGAGGTGGGAGGCACCCTGCCTGGGAAGGGGACAAAGGACCCCTGTCCCTGGGAGGCCAAGTGGTGAACTCCGTCCCGACCTTCCTGCCGTGTGCTGCTGCTTCTCTGTTACTGCTGTTCCAGTCCTGCCAGCATCGCTTCTTGCTTGGATGTCTGCAGGAGCACCTGGGTCTCCTGATTCTCTGCAGTGCCTGCTTGGAAAACACACTGACCCTTTATTTCCCAGCCACTGGCTCCTCAGGGCCCTTAGAAAGAATCCATCCTTGCCTTGGCCTGTGAACCTGAGTGACTGCCTGCCCTCCCTGCTTTGTGCTCACTCAAAGAGTTTCTCAAGCACGTGTCGCCCAGTCTCACCTCTGGGCTCCTGGTCAGACGGTGGCGCCATCTGACTCCCCCTGACTGTCTCGTGCCCATTCTCTCCTTGATGCCCCCTTGCCCTCCCCAAGGCTGGGGTAGACTGAGCTTCCTTCTCTGAGCTAACAGTCTGGTCCTTGTCTGCCCCCTGCTGCACCCCGCCGGGGCACTGAGCCCTCTGTGGCTGGGCCCTGCCTCATTCACTAGCTTGGGGCTCAGCTTGCAGTGGGGACCTCAAAGTTTCTGTAAATAAGCAGATGCCCACCGCCCTCTCCTGACCCTAAAGCCACCAACACTCGCAGTGGTACCGGAGCTGCTGTGTCGCATACCTGCTTCGGTCTCGGTTCTTCTTCTTCCAGCCCAGCCCAGATCCAGGCATCCTCTCCTTCCCCTGTCTTTGATGAAGGAGTGTCCCATTTCTTCCCGTCACTCACATTCAAACCTTGATGAGGTCAATACTTAATTTGTTTTTCCATTCACAATATTATGCAAATACTACCTCACTGCGTTGGGGAGCCCACTGCCCGGGAGCAGTCCTTGGCCACCCCTGTCTTGGCAGCCACCATTCTGTTTTCTGTCTCCGTAGGTTTCCCTATTCTAGGTACTTCCTGCAGGTGAACTCATGCCCCACCTAGCCTTTTGTGACCTACTTCTTTGACTTAGAGTGATGTTTTCAAGGTTCATCCGTGGCATGGCCTGTGTTAATGTTCATTTCTTTTTGTGACCAAATCATGTTCCACTGTCTGGACGGACCACAGTTTGTTTATCATTCATCTGTTGATGGACTTTTGGGCTGTTTCCACCTTTTGGCTGCTGTGAATAATGTGGCTATGGACGTTCATATACATGTATTTGTTTGAGTCCCAGTTGTCTGTTCTTTTGGGTATGTGCCCAGGAGTGGAATTGTTGGGTCATTTAGTAATTCTATGTTTAACTTTTGGAGGAACCGCCAAAATGGTTTCCTAAAAAAAAAAAAAAAAAAAAAAAATTTTTTTGAGCTGGCAATAAATGTGACTGAGGTTGGGAGGGATGGAAATCGGATTTATTAAATAAGCTCATGGTGAATGAGGGAGGCACTCAATCTCCTAGTTTTGGGGACAACATGTGTGTGAGAACATGGGGCCAGGGAGCTGCTGGGGTGACCTATTGATGGCTGAAGCACTGCAAGCTTGGTGGTGGACACACAGTGAGTCTAGAGGGAGTGGGAAGGTAGCCAGACCCTGGCCTTGGAGTGAGAAGGGTAGGGATACCAGCGAGGATTCTCCAGAGCTGCTTTGGAAAGGTGTCACCTTTCCGGCTTCTGGAGCCCACAGGCACTGTATGTGTGAGCATCTGTCTAGTAGAGGCCTGCCTTCTCCAGTTGGCGTTTTGTTAGGCAAAGGAAGTTAGGAAAGCTATGGGTAAATTAGACTCCTCTGCCACTTTCTGCAGTGCAGAATCAAATAGCAATTTGGAAGTTGCCCGGCAATGCTCTTGGAGGAGGGGCAAGCAGTGTGAACATCTTCCCACCCAAGTGCTGGCCTCATCTCCTCGGTGACAGTGGGCCACTGCTGAAAGCCCAGAGAGAGGGCAGAATGAAATTTGCATCGCTGCATTGTATGGCCAGGGTCTGCTTGGGCTTTGAGATGAGCCGGCGCATGAGAATTCTGGAATGGGGTCCAGCAGCAGTGGCCACCCCTGGCCCTCCCCAGACAAGGCCAGTTTCATGTCTCTGGGCTGCAGGACAGATGCCACGTTGCCCTTTGTGGGAATTGGCAGGGCAGCTCTTCCCCCCACTTCCACAGCAGAGCACCAATATCACTGGGCTGGAGCTACTACAGAGCTGGTTCTAGTGAGAGTGATACTAGTTGCTCCTGTTAGCTGAGCAGGATGTGTTCCCATGCTCATAAAAATTATACGGTACATCCTGTGGGCTGGCACAAGCCCACGTGGGCAACTTCCTGAGGTGCTCGTAGGTGCACTGGGCTGTGACTCCTTTCTTCCCTGGGTGAGTCAGAACTTTTGGTGGCAAATTACAGAAACCCAGGTTGGGCTGGTGAAGGCAAAACACACAGGAATGTCTCAGCTCTCCTAAACCAGTGAGCAGGCTTCGACTGTGTTCAGGCATGGCTGTCATCAGGACCTGGACCGCGCTCTCACCATCCTCAGCTCTGTCTTCCTGCCAGATGGTGTCGCCGTTGGGCAGGCACTGCGGTGAGGTGGGTGAGGTGGCCCAGAGAACGGCAGGCTTTCATCCTCCCAGCTTCCTCCCAAGCAGAGCGCACCTGTTCTTGGTTTCCCCCAGTGAAAGTCTCAAGGCTGCCTCTCATTGGCCCAGTCTGGGTCACATGCTCATCCTCCAACCAATCCCTGGCCCAGGGGATGCAGGAGTCTGATTGGCCAGGCCGGGATCACATGACCACTCCCAGAGCCCGGGGAGGGAGGATGGCTCCTGGAAAGGTCTTGCCGGGTCTCCTCCCCTCGTGGAAGATGGGGGCGGGGAATGGAAGGCAGGCGGACCCGGGGCGGGGGTTTCCTAACCCTTCTGACCCCCGCGCCCTCAGCCCGCCCTCCCGGCGTTCTTTCGCGTTAGACCCCCAGCAGGCACATCACCGTGGAGGGTCAGTTGCGGGAGGACAGCTGTGAGCCGCGGGCCGGGGCAGGGCGATGAGGGAGGCCAGGAGGTTTCGGGGAGCTGGGGGTACGACCTACTTACCTGATGGCCGGAGATGCAACCCCAGCCGGCCGCAGTACGCGGGAGCACCGAGGGGGGTGCCTGCGCCATCTTGGGCTTTCCTCAGCCGGGGTGGGCTGCACGTGGCGGGGCCTGAGGGGCACACGTTTCCCGGTGGGTGCTGAGGGCGGAGGGCAAAGGAGGCCTGGCCGTGCCGTCCTGTCACCTGGGGCTTGCGCCGGCGGGGCCGGTGGTGCCCCCGACCGGCTGATGGAGCCGGGGCCTAGGCGGGAGGAGGCCCCCAGAGATTCCCCAGCAGAGGCGGCTCCTGACTCTGGTCTCCGTGTCCTCTTGACGTGAGTCCTTTTGTCTTCCCGAGCCCCAGTTTCCCCACCTGTAAAGACTGGACTGTCTCTTGAGATTCTTTCTAGCCTGGACACGGGTGGTTTCTCTCCCGCGGAAGGCACCGTTTACCTGCACCCCAGCAGCCTTTTGGGGCCCCCTGGCTCTTATCGTGTCCTCAGCTGTCTCCCCAGCCCCCCACTGCCCAGTCCCCCCACTCCCAGCTCTGCTCCTATACAGGGTCATACTGTGACCTGTGACCTGCACCCTGCCGGAGCTGACCCTGTCCACCGCCCTCTCGGGACACTTTGCTGCACCTCACCCTGGCCATGCCTCTCAGCACAGGTGCCCAGCCGTCTGCCTGAACTGGGTGCTTCTGGAGAACTTGGCCCTGGTGACTCAGAAACTGTAGAGGTCGTGGGGTGAGGCTGGGGGGTTGAGGGGCAGTGGGAAGTGCTGCCAGACTGGGGGTTCCGTGGGGTGAGGCCGGGGGGCTGAGGGGCGGTGGGAAGTGCTGCCAGAGTGGGGGTTCCGTGGGGTGAGGCCGGGGGCTGAGGGGCGGTGGGAAGTGCTGCCAGAGTGGGGGTTCCGTGGGGTGAGGCCGGGGGGCTGAGGGGCGGTGGGAAGTGCTGCCAGACTGGGGGTTCCGTGGGGTGAGGCCGGGGGGCTGAGGGGCGGTGGGAAGTGCTGCCAGACTGGGGGTTCCGTGGGGTGAGGCCGGGGGGCTGAGGGGCGGTGGGAAGTGCTGCCAGACTGGGGGTTCCGTGGGGTGAGGCCGGGGGGCTGAGGGGCGGTGGGAAGTGCTGCCAGACTGGGGGTTCCGTGGGGTGAGGCCGGGGGGCTGAGGGGCGGTGGGAAGTGCTGCCAGACTGGGGGTTCCGTGGGGTGAGGCCGGGGGGCTGAGGGGCGGTGGGAAGTGCTGCCAGAGTGGGGGTTCCGTGGGGTGAGGCCGGGGGCTGAGGGGCGGTGGGTAGTGCTGCCAGAGTGGGGGTTCCGTGGGGTGAGGCCGGGGGGCTGAGGGGCGGTGGGAAGTGCTGCCAGACTGGGGGTTCCGTGGGGTGAGGCCTGGGGGCTGAGTGGCTTTCCCTGATGTGGTGCATGTTGCCACTGCTGCCTGGGCTATGGCTCAGGGGTCCCTCAAATGCCAGTCGCATCTCTTGCTGTCATTGGGCAAGAGGGACCCAGTGGCCCAGAGAAGGGTCAGGAGTCTGTCTTCCTTGGAGTAGACGAACTACCAGGGGCCCTACCAGGGTGTCTGGAGGGGCCATTGCTCTGCGACTGATCATTTTTCTTTTCTGGTTTACTCTCAGGTGGTTGTGACAGGGCGGCCCACCCGCAGATGCCGAGGACTGGCTTTTAATCTTGGTGGTCACTGAGAGGGACATTACTGGGGCCCAAGAGTCCCTGGACACTCACCACCATGTCGGGATCCACGCAGCCTGTGGCGCAGACGTGGAGGGCCGCTGAGCCCCGCTACCCGCCCCATGGCATTTCCTACCCCGTGCAGATTGCCCGGCCCCACACGGTAAGTAAGGGGTGCGTATGTGTTCCCTGGGGCCAGCTTTGGGGCCGCCTTCTCTCATCGAGGTCCCCATAAGGGCTGGTGCATCTCTAGTGGTATCTGGCCAGGGCTCACTGTGTCCCCCGAGGGGAAGTGGGCTGCCACGGCAGAGACTGCTGGCATCTGGAACTTCCAGTACAATCTCTTAGCTCCCACTTTAGAGCTGGGAAGATGGAGACCGTTGCCAGGTTGAGCTGGGATCTCTGTCTCCATAGGCCTCAGTGGAATTTACATGTAAACATGGAGCACACACTGTATACGTTTTGCTGGCAGCCCAGCCTCTCCAAAACTCTTTGCTTTTTGAGGTGGCCTATGGGGGGGAATATTGCTGATAACCCCTTGCCTCCCTGATCCTTGACCCTGGAGCTCATTCACTCTGGTGTTGGCTCAGGGCTCTGAGATGATGAAGCTCAGAACACATCAGTGTCTCCGAAGTCCTGATTTGGGGATCCAGGTATTGTTTGGCTCACTGAGGAGCCACTCCATCTCTGGGGGATGACCTACCTGTGGAGAGGCTCACGTGCTCTCATGTGCCGGCTTGCACATGTGTGTGCTCTCGATCAGCTTTCCTAAGCTGTGTCCCGCTCTGTCCATCCACCAGTAGGGCCCATTTCCTGCCTTCAGCTCTAGCTGCATGGTATAGCTGTAGGGATGGGCCTTTGGTTCTGCTCTGTGGACATTTATTGGGTACCTTGGTGCTTGCCAGAGGGCTCTTAGGGCCTTGGGCCTCCCCATTTGACCAACTGGCAGCTCAGCGAGGGGATGTGGGGCCTTGTGGGCATAGCTGGGGGAAAGGCTGGCTCTGCTGGCCTGTGTTTGTGTGCGTGTGTCTGTGTGTACGTGCACATGCATGTGTGTATATTGCTTGGCATGGTTTCTCATGAGAAGAGAGGAAGTGGCATGGGAGGGCATTTCTATCAGTGAGCATGTGAACCCACTGGCCGAGAGTGGGGGGTGTCCCAGACACAGTGACCTCTTGAGAATTTGGCCTCCCACCCTCTACCCCCGGGTGCTTCTTGAGCCAGCAGGGCTAAATGGGCACCTTATGGAGCCCTGTGACAAGAGCTTGCCCCTGGGTAGAGTCTTTGGATTCCCACAGACAGCCCAATGAAAGGGCAGCTCATGTTACTATCCTATTTTGCAGATGAGGGGACTGAGGCCAGGAGATTAAACCACAGGCCTTAGGGGAGATCACTGCCAGGAGACAGTCGGCTTCAGCTTCAGGATTCTGAGCCCCCGTCACGGAGGCTCTATTAATTGGGCACCTGGTGTGTGCCCAGGACCAAAGAGTGTGCTCCTGGGGGCGAGTTATTATCATGTAGTGTTGTTGTAATCTTTATCGTGATCACCAGCAACAACAACGCTGCGACCTCTCATTTACCTGTGGCAGGACAGACGTTCTGTTCAGAGCCTTCTCTGCGGACAGCAGCACTTGCTGCTCCAAATCACTGTGAGTGGGTCTTTTAGCTCTCTATTTGTAGAGGAGGAATGTTCTGTAGGTGAGGAAGCAGGCCCACTTGCTCATGCTTTCTGAGCTCAGTTTTTTATCCATAAGACAGGGTCACAAGAGCACTTGTCTCCTAGATTCTCGTGGGGATTAAATGAAACGACGGATAAAGTGTTTATGGCAGCACCTGGCACACACTCTGCCCGACATGTCCGTTTGATGTTATTATTCCTTGTTATTGTCACTGTTACTGCAGCCTCCTGGAGGGGCTGCCTCTCCTGGGGACCCGTGGCCGATGCTTCTGGCTTCTGTCTTGATTCTCATTCCCTGCTGCTAGGTTCCCACCCCTCTGCCATCCCCTTCCCTGTGGGCACAACCCTGGGAAGTCCTCTGGTCTCTATAGCTCCCGCTCTCCTACCTTCCCTCCTGTCATTTGCCTCATCTAGGCCCTCAGCTGGGCACTCTCCCGGTCATCTGGGGTCACTGGCTGACCCATAACATCTCCTTTTCTTCCCCTGCTGGGTTGTCAGTGACGCAGGATGTGGCTGGACAGGACCCAGCAGTCACCACCCACTCGAAGCAGGAGGCTGAGGCCAGGGGTGAATGGGCCCCTAGGGTGGCTGTGGGGTGGGGTGTTCCTGTCCTGTGTGTGGTGGCAGCTGTGGGGCCCCAATCCCTGACCACCCTGCCTTGTGCTGGGGTGACATAGCCCTGCTTGTCACCTGAAAGGCAGGAGCAAGAATTCTGGGCATCCCGGGGGTTGTGGGGGGTCTCCTGGGCCTGTATTCTGGCTGGAGCTATTTGCCCTTAGCTGGTGGGAGGTCAGCATTGGGTCTGTAATCTGGAGGTTCCCCCCCACCCCCAGCCCCCGGTGCAATTCACATGCCCTCTAATCCCTTTTCATCAGCCTATTTTACAGGTGGGGTTTGTGAGATGCCTCCCTTTTTTCAAGTCTAGAAGACAGAGGGTGGAAGAAAGGGGAAATCAAGGCACAGGGAGATAAATGCTCCATCTGAGAGCCAGGCAGGAGCCCAGTGTCCTGACTCCTAGCATAGTAGCCAAGGCAGGAAGCTGGAAAGAAGGGGAGGAGCCTGTACCCAGTGATCTCTGACCTTCTTGGGGCTCAGTTCTCTCTCACATACACTCCTAAAAGGCTTACCTTCTGGGATAGCCCGTGCTGGCTCCAGAGGCCTCTTGCAGGGTGCTCTGGCTCAAGGCTGCTTGGATGGCCAGTCTCCCCTGGAGCCAGAACCTCTAGAGGTGGCTTTGAGTATCTCTGTTCCTTCCAACCTACTGAGTGACACTGGGCTGCTCACTTAACCCAATAGAGCAACCTGAGTTTTCCTATCTGCAGTATGGAGTTGTGGGTCTGAGCCTCAGGGGAGGATGTTTGCAAGGTGCTCAGGGTGGTATCTGCATGCAGTAAGCATGTTGTAGACCTTTCTTTCCTCCTGGCAGGGTGACAGAGCCCCAGGGAGAGCCTCTTTTTCCTTGGGGCTGCAGGACCCTGGACTCTGAGGGACTCTGGACTGTCTCATCTGCTGGCCCACACCTCTAGGCTGCCTGCTGTGCTCTGCACAGCACAGATGGAAGGCATAATTCCAGGTGTGCTTGCAGGCAGAGGCCTGGACCCAGGGCTGTGGAAATCCCACTGTTCCTCTGACCACTTCAGGAGCGTGCTTGGCCTCTCTGAATACCAACTTAGGCACAGTGCGTGTTGCTCGTTGAATATGATCTGCTCTACCCATGGAATCTGTGCCCTGTTCTCTCCACCTCTGTGGTCTTGGCTTCCCTCCCTCACAGAATCAGGACCCCACATCTTTCCCTGAGGGTCTCCCAGGATCGAGAGTCCCGACATACCCTCCTTGCCTTGCTTCTTATCAGTCTTTCTGCAATTTCTCCTCCCAAGTCCACAGGAACCATTTGAACTTCCCTGAGTTATTGGAGTCCTTGTGCTAAATGAATGTGTTCAATTCAAAAGGTGCAAGGCCTAACTTTAGCACTACCCCTTTCTGCTGTGTGGCCCTGGGCAAGTTACTTAATCTGTCTGTGCCTCACTGTAGAAGGGTAGTTAGGAGTACAGCTTCTGGAGCCAGACTGCTCACATTCATGTTGCAGTGAATTTTGGACAAGTGGCCTTACCACCTTATGCCTCAGTTTCCCCATTATCTGAGCAAGGTAATTAAGGGATTTTCAGGGTCAGGTTAGCTGACGTAGGCAGAGGCCTTTGCACAGTGCCTGGACAGAATTAGCACACAGTGGTATCAAGTATGGTGATGTTGATTTCAACGATGGTGTTGTTATGACAACATAGCATGGGTATCCTTTTCCACCTTGCCTTTGGGCTCTTCTTCTGGAGGAAGGTCAGCAAACCTTCCCTGTGAGTATTGCAGGCTCTTCAGGCCATTTGGGCCCTGTCACAACTGCTTGGCTCTGCTGCCCTTGTAGCTTGAGAGCAGCCCGCCCAGATGCAGAGGGATGGCTGAGTGCCGAGCCAGGCTTTGGCCTTGGGCCCCATTTCTGACTCCTGCCCTGGATTGGTGCTTGTCAAACTCTTTGTGGGAAGGCTCAATCTGGTGAACTTGCAGATTGCCCCCAGCTGGTACATGGTTGTGCTGCATGTGCCCCAGTTCTTGGATGCGGGGGTGGGTTGTGGCTAAGGCCAGCAGCATGGATACTGGCTGTGGCACAAACGCGTGTGTCTTCTGTATCCTCCTCGTCACAGGCCAGCAGCGTCATGGGCCCCACGTGGAGCTGCGCTGCCCTGGCTTCAGGGTCAGGGATCCAGGAGCCTGCCTGGGCCAGAGGGATCACCTCATGTGCCAGTACTATTGTAGGCCCTGGGAAAAGAGCTGTGAGCAAACCAGAAGCATCCCTGCCTCTGGCAGCTAGTGTTCCCATGGGGGAACAATGAACAGGGGAGGAAAGGGGAGGGATGGCTGAGGTTGCAGGGGTCCTAATTGAAGTCAGGAGTCGGGGAAGGATGCCTCACTGAGAAGCTGACATTGGAGTCAAAACCTGAAGGGAACTAGAGGGCCAGGCATGGGGAAATGTGGCTAAAGAATGTTCTAGGTAGAGGGAATAGCACATGCAAAGGCCCTGAAGTAGGAGCCATCTTGATCGTAGCTCCTACTTCTCCAGGAGGGACCCATGAGTTCTTTGCCTGCCATGTACAGTTCCAGATGTTTCTTCAGCCCCTTCTGGGGTGAGAAGCCCTATCCCAGGGATCATTGAGGAGCATGCCTCCTCCTAACACAGCCACAAGGAAAATCCTCCTCCCAGTCCCTCCTTCAGATATCTCCCAGAGTCCAGGCCCGGTTTGGATTTGACCTGATGTGCAATGCCCCAGCCCCTCTGTCCATGTAACCTCACAGGAGAATCTGTGCAGAGACGTGCCAGATGGGGTTCCCTCCTGGCTACACTGCTTTTCCACAGCCCCACGTCACCTACCTGGGGAGTTTAGGGGCATAGTTTATTGGCTGGCCCCAATTCCCAGTGTCAGAGGCACCATGGCTGGAGAGAAGCCAGCAGAGGCAAGTCGGAGCCTCACCTGGAGACTCTTTTCCTCTGATTTTTTTTTTTTTCCTCTGATTTTTCTGAGCAGGAGCTCTGGAAGCACGTAGCAAGGGCAGGGCAGGCCTCTTCTCCCCGAGTCTGGTTTGCTGCTGTTTTTCAGGACTGGCCCCCTGTTCCTGCCTGTTCCTCAGCAGGAAGCCAGCTTGGGCCAGTCTTGGGGCTCAGAGCCTCTCCTCCTTACTGTGTGATCTGGAAAAGTCACTTAACTTCTCTGTACCTGATTTCTCATGTTGCTATGGGACTATGTGTGATACCTCGTGGTGGTGTTGTAGGGATTACGTTAGTGTGTTTCAAACTTTTAGTGGCAAATGGACACAGGCAATTTGTGTACAATGGGTATTGTTGCTATTTTAACTCCCAAAGAGTTCTCATGCTCCGAGATGTGGCTGGGAGGCTTGTAGCCCAAGTGCCTGAGGTATCCAGTCTCAAGTGAGCCCCACCTTGGCTCAGTTTCTCTCTTGGGGTCTCCCCAGTTTTTGCCTTCCTGTGGAGCATCCAGACACCCTTGGGGGTTCCTGGGTTCAGCCTCGGGGACCTGCTTCAGGCCCTGTGGTGGAGTTTCATGAGGACCCTGCACAAATGGCCCCAAGATGCTCTTTGGAGGGACTTTGTAGACAAACATCTCCCTCTTGGGTCCTAAACTGAGAAACGGAGGCCAGAAAGTTTGTGAAGTGGCTTCTTTCCCCCTCCTCCTCGTCGAGGGCCCCATTTGCCATGTGCCTTTTCTGCCTCCATTGGCAGGTGTAGGCACTGTCTTGCTGTGGCCCTTTCCCAGGGGATCGGATTGTCTGTCTCTCTGCCGCTTTGCTCATTTTGCTTTTGTGTGAAAGAGCCGGTTGGAGAAAATTTTCCTCCTGGCAGACTGCAAAGCCTGCTGATTCCTTCTCACACCTCTGTACGTGTGCGCGAGATCTTTGCCTGGCAGCCTTGCTGGCGTGATCCCAGAGGCCCTCACTCCCTCCCTTGAGGCCTTTCTCCCTCCTCCTCCTTCCCGCCTGCCGCCCTGCACGAGCACCTGGTGCCTCATGCTAGATGTTGCAGAGTGGGGCAGGAGGGATGTGCCGAAACCTTCTCTGCCTTTTTGAAGCTGCCCTTCGTCTTGGGGGGGTGATGCTTTGGAGAGTTAAGGTGGGGTGAGTGGTAGGAGGCACAAAGGCCTCTTTCCCAGGTAGGTGCCTTCTTCAAAGATGAGGAAACCTAAATCTCAGAGGGTTTGAGCATCGGACAGCCCCCTCCAGCCTGAGGCACCTTGTAGCTGTACCCTACGTTGGGCTTCCTCAATGTTTCCAGCCTCTGAAGTTGACAGGGTCCCTGTTCATTCCATTTATTCATCTGCTCTAACCTTTGGCCTCTCAGCCTTCTAGATGCTTGGTTTGGAGGGTCTGAAACACATACATTCCCAGCACACCTGCCTAGTATCATCTGATCTCTTTGCAGAAATAACCACTTAAAAAACAAAAACCAAACAACAGAAGACTTACTAGGTGTTTAGGGAAAATTGGGAGAATTAAGAGAGGTGCCAAGAAGGAAATAAGTCATACGTGGTGCTGCTCTTCCTAAGCCTCACCTGTGTCAGACATCACTAATTGATTGTCACACATAGTAGAACTGAGTGTTCTAGGCAGACAGCGCTGATCGATTTCACTATGGTGTGAAGCCAGTCCTGTTTGCTCTTTTGAGAGACTTGTTTTTATCCTTTTAAAGTTTTTTTTTAAAGATTTATTTACTTATTTGCAAGAATGAGAGAGCACAAGTGGGGAGTGGAGGGAAAGGGAGAGAATCTCAAGCAGACACCCCACTGAGCATGGAGCTCCTCAGAGGGCTCAACTTCATGACCCTGAGATCATGACGTGAGTCAAAATCAAGAACCGGACACTTGACCAACTGAGCCATCCAGTTGCTCCTCCATTCTTATTTTAAAAAAACCTTTTTAATGTGTCTGTTGTCAGAATGTAGTTGATAGTCAGGATATATCTAGTTTGTTAGTGTTCAGTTTTTCCTCAGATGGTCAGGGACACTAGGTGGCATTTTACTGAAGAAGGAGGGTTTTGCTTGCAGTGTATCCTGGTGACTTTGATCTTTGCTATATATGACATACATGTGTGGCTTTTCCTGTCACACAGCAGACAGGGGAGTCCCAAGGCGGTGCCTTGTCTTGGAAGCTGGCCTTTGAGTCTCACAGCCCGGTGGTGTCGGCAGTGTCCTGCCTGTGCTTCTTGGTTTCACGCATGCACCCCGCTCCTTTAGTGGCCTGGTTGGTAGACCTGCAGTCTGTGGCTTTTCCAGCTGTCTGCTGACACATGGACTTGGCTGTGTCCTCTGGAAAGAGGGCATAATCGCAGAGCACTGTGGGTACCAGTGTGGCGGGGAGTGAGGGACGGAGGCCGTCAGCCCTAGGTACGCACTCTGGCCACTCTAGGCTTCAGGAGCTGCGTGGGGATGTGGGCCTGGGCAGGGAGCATGTGACTCTGCCGCCTCTGCCTGCCACTGTGAAGTGGGCAGTTTTCGCTTGCTCACTTCCTGGGCCTCCTGCTACAGGACGTCGGGCTGCTCGAGTACCAGCACCACCCCCGTGACTACACCTCACACCTGTCGCCTGGCTCCATCATCCAGCCGCAGAGGAGGAGGCCCTCCCTGCTGTCTGAATTTCAGCCTGGGAATGAAAGGTAAGGAGAGGCTGGCATGTTGCCTGGCTCAGAGCTGCGGCATCATGTCTCAGGTCGGGGGATGGAGGGCTGTGCTGGGGCAGGAGCAGGCAGGGTTGGTGTGAAATGAGGGGTCACTTGGACTGTGTGCTTCCCCTTGTCCTCGTGCAGCTGTGACTTCGCAAAAATGGGGATGAGCAGGATGAGCCATGTGGAACCTCTGACTTCCTACCAAGGGCCTTCAGTGGTCTCTGGGTGTGTGGCTAGGCAGGAGGGGTTGACCACCAAGATGTGCAGGGGCAGGGCTGGGGTGCTGATTGAGAGGGACATGTCCACACCTGGGTGCGCATGGGGAGCCCCTTCCTTCCATCCCTCTGTCCTCCTTTTTTCTGCCCCTTGCTACCAGATGAGGTCCTCTGGCAGATGTCTGCCTATCTGGGCTGGCCTGCGTTTCCTTAAGACCCTTAAGTAGGAGGGAGAGAGCCAGTGCAGTGGGATGGGGACCCCAGTGAGAGGAGGACCGAGGTCAGAGCAGGGCCCCAAGGTGCCAGAGATAGTAACAGCACTAACTGCTAAGAGTCTTTACATCTGGCACATGCTGGTTCATTCGAGGCTGTGGGCACACAGCGGGATCCAGGTAAATGGCCCTTCCTGTGGGGAGCCCACAGTCTAGCAGGGAGATGCATCACAGAGACCACACAAAATGACCCCCCCCCCCCGAATGAGGCACGTGACTATTACCTATGGGGTGAGGAAGGTATTACCTCTCTGGCCAGAGGTAAGGAGGAGGAAAGGCCTCTCACAGGAGGGGTGCTTGTCTAGTGTGTAGCTGACCAGAGAGCTGGGTAAAGGTACTCCAGACAGAGGGAACAGCACATGCAAAGGCCCAGAGATAAGAAGGCACTTGGAGTGTTCAGGGAGGGCATGAGCTTAAAAGGCATTTCAGCAGAGACACTGTTTAGGCTGTCTGGTAAGGAGCCGTAGCTGGAGATGGAGTATGCGAGTCTCGGCTCTGCTGTGTGTGCTCAGGCAAGGCATGCCCTCTCTGGGCCAATTTTGTCCTGTGCAAATGGGGGAGCAGGTTAAGGAGAGCCAGTTGGGAGTGATTAGGTTGGACAGCTCGCATCTCTGCCCCAGGCAGCCTGGCTAGGTAGCCTGGCTGAGTCAAGAAAGAGGCAAAGGCAGGGTTAGCAGCCAGAGTGCTGTGGTTGGCTAGTGATGTCTGCCCTGGGTGGATGATGTGCATATATCATCACCTGTGTTATTATCTGTGCTGGACCCACAAGACTTTTCAGACTTGCTGTGCCCATGAATCACCCTGGGGCTCTTGTTTCAATGCAGAGTCTGGCTCTGTAGGCCTGGGTGGGACTCCAGACTCTTGTTTGTAGTTACAAACGAGCTACAAACTCTTGTTTGTAGCTCCGGGTGGGGCTGATGCTGCTGGTCATGGGCCACACTCGCTAATGAGGGAATTGCCAGTACATCCTATCTATCTATCTATCTATCTATCTATCTATCTATCTATTTATTTATTTTTAACATCCTCTTTCTGTGAACATAATGAACGTAGGCTCACAGGAAGATAGGTCTGTGCCCGTCCACAGGTGGGCACTGCTCTCTGAGGGTCCAAGAGGGTGTGGTGTCCAGCAGGTGCTCATCAGGAGAACGGTAGATATGATACCCTGTGTCCTTGCCTCCATAGGTCCCAGGAGCTTCACCTGCGACCTGAGTCCCACTCATACCTGCCCGAGCTGGGCAAGTCAGAGATGGAGTTCATTGAGAGCAAGCGCCCTCGCCTGGAGCTGCTGCCTGACCCCCTGCTGCGGCCCTCACCCCTGCTGGCTGCGGGCCAGCCCGGGGCCTCTGAGGACCTGTCTAAGGTAAGGCCTGGCTCCAGACGGGCCCTGCTGAGGATTCAGTTTTCTTCTGTGATTGGACTGGGTGCAAAGCAACGGGTTGGTGTGTTGGACTGAGGCACAGCTCAGGCAAGCGTCTGGGAGGCAGGGCTGAGTGCAGGGCACAGTGCAGCTGGGCAGAGGCCAGGCCTGGGCTGAGGTTGGCTCTGTAGGGCACTCCTGGCCAGAGAGGGACCACACCTGCCTATGTCCAGCCTGTAGGGCCACAGTTTCCCCTGTGCCCTAGAGAGCTCTTCTGCTTTACTCCTCTTTAAAACAGAAAGTCGAGCTGAGACAGGGGGGTGAGGATGTGTAGAGATTACTGTGGGAGGTTCTTCTGCCATTTCAGTAAGTCTCAGGGACAGTTGAGGTTGGAAGCTTCTTTGGTCTCCATTTACACAGAGCCAAGCTGATAGAGGTGGTAATGGAGCAGTTTCCGGGCTGCCCCGAAACTGTTGTTCTACTGTCACTGCCTGGGATGGGGCAGGGACGGTGGCCAGGTGACATGCTCATTCTTGGCCGGCTGAGTGATGATGGATGTCACTTCTGCATGTGCTGTTTCCGTTCAGTGTCTTCACCACCATGGGGACACATGTTAGCTCATTAACAGTCTCCCAGCTGCTGGGTGAGGTCAGTCCTCATGCAGCACTGGTGGGTGTGGGAACCAGGCCAGGCGATGGAAGTGGACCATTCGAGCCTGCTGGGTCCTCTTCTCTGTCTGATGCTGGATGGGATTGGATGGTGGGGTTTCTGGCCAAGGCAGGTCCTCCACTGGGAGGCTGGCATAAAAGAGGTGTTCCCGTGGTGGTGGTGGTGATGATAAGTTAACATTAAGTGAGCGTGTCAGGTAGTGTGCCAGCTGTGAGTGTCATTCCTTTGTGTCTTCCCAGCCCCGTGAAGTGTGATCACAGAGCATACTTTCTCTGAAGGGGCCCAGCTTAAGAGAGAAAGCCACTCTCCCATGGTCGCTGGGAAGTGGGCACCGAAGGCCAGGCAGCCTGGGTCTGCCACCCCTCCCTGCCCACCAGGCTGTCCTGCTGCGGGGTGCCTGCAATCCCCCCTCCCCAACCCCGATTGCTCAGCTTGCTGGGAGGGATGTTGCTGTTAGAAGAACTGTTTCCCTAAGTGGGCCTTGGATGGTAGGAGAGTGGGATATGTGTGAAGGGCTTAGGGCCATGCCATTAGCCAGGCCATGGGCCACACTGGGAACTTTGATTTCTTCCATAGAGACTGGGGCCCCCAATGGGTTGTGCCCCCCAGCTCCTGTCCGGTTTTGCCCAGAGAACAGGCTGACAGTTATCTCTGGCTAGCCCCCATCAGGCCTCTACTGCCCGCCTGGACTGGCTCTCTGGAATAGTGGCTCAGAGCCTTCAGACCTGTGAATTCTTCTGAGGGTGTCTGTGCCTCGAAGTAGCTCTGTGATCCTATGCTTGTTCCTCTTGTAGCTGCCTGGGGAGTCTTGTCTTTGTGTCTGTTTCTATCTGTCTCTATCTTCTCTTCCTGGCCCCTGGGGTTCAGGGAAGGGATAGGCCCAGCACTGGGGCCTGCCTAGACCAACTATTGTAATTGGTCCAGGCTGCTTATGAAGAGCATTTGGAAAGTTTGAGCAGATTTTGGGCAAGGGAAGAAGCCAGGGAAGAACACAATTCTGAAAGCGTTCAGATGTTTTTTGCATCTGCTTTGTGGAATTCAGCTGGATGCAGGGGACTGGAATTCAGTGGGATTTTTTTTACAGCCCTGTTCCACCCCCCCCCCCCCCCGCTGTGTTCCTTTTTCATATGAAAATGTTCTGTTTTATAATGCTTCCCTGCCCTTGAGCCTCTGGAGTTTTGTGGTATCAGGCTTCCTTTGGAATTCACCAAACTCTGTTTTAGGGGACTCCAGAGTCATCACACACAGAATCATTTCTGAAAGTCCCTTTGTCTTTTGGGGATTTGTTGGCTGAAAAAGACAGAAAACTCATGTCAGACTAACTTAAGAATGTATCCTGGCTCATATAACTGGAATCCAGGGTTGGTTGACTTCAGGTACAGCTTGATCCAGATGACATGATGTCACCAGGTCCCCATCTCTGTCCCTGTCTTGGGTCTGCCATTTGCTACGTGGTCTTAGTGTGTTAACAATAAGAAGGCAGTTTGCGATTCCAGGCCTTCCTCTTCCTATGTTGAAGGCCAGCATAAAGGGAGAGGCTTCCCTCCATCCCCATATTTCCAGCCACAGCTCTTTCCCTCCTTGCCTGTGTGTGGGGTCCTTGCCCATCCTGGAACCCATCATTGTGACTCCAGAGTAGACTCTGGGTGCCTGAGGCCAGCTCCGCCCCTTCCCGAAGCTGGGATTAAGGGGACCTTACCAGCTACAGGGTTTTTGCTGCCTCTATGTCTTTAATTTTGCATAGTGAGTTTTCTCTTCTGTGTTGGCCTGAATTTTACACCGAGGGCATCTGATGGGGAAAATGGTGCCAATTGCTACCTGGTGACCGGCTGGGGTATGGGTTTGTTGTTTTGCTCCTGTGGCTTTGGGCTGAAGTGAAGGCCAGCAGCCATCGGGAGAACCATCTGGAGGCCCAGTAGCCAGTAGACCCAGCTTGGTCCCATTCCTGGAAAACTCAAGTTATGGAGAAAGTGCTCTTTGCTCATGGATGTGCTGCTGCTTTTTAAGTTGAGGTGAAATTCACAGAACCTGAAATTAACCTTGTGAAAGTGAACAGTCAGTGGCATTTAATACCCTCACAGCGCTGGCCAGCCCCCACTTCTCCTCATTCCAAAACATTTTTTTCACCCCGACAGGAGACCCTATACCCATACGCAGTCACTCCTCATTCCTTCCTCCCCAGCCCCTGGCAACCACCAGTCTGTTCTCTTTCCTTCTGGATTTGCCTGTTCTGGACGTTTCCTATCAATGGAATCCTCTAATGAGACCATTTCTGTCTGGCTTCTTTCTCTCAGCTTCGTGTTCGTTCTTTCTCTCTCTCCCTCTCTTCTTTCTTTCTTCTTTCTTTCTTTCTTTCTTTCTTTCTTTCTTTCTTTCTTTCTTTCTTTCTTTCTCTCTCTCTCTCTTTGCTTCTTTCTTCTTTCTTTCTTTCTTTCTTTCTTTCTTTCTTTCTTTCTTTCTTTCTTTCTTTCTTTCTTCTTTCTTATTATCTTTTAAAGATTTTATTTATTTATTCATGAGAGGCACAGAGAGAGAGAGAGAGAGAAAGGCATAGACTCAGGCAGAGGGAGAAGCAGGCTCCATGCTGGGAGCCCGATGTGGGACTCGATCCCGGGTCTCCAGGATCGCACCCTGGGCTGCAGGCGGTGCTAAACTGCTGTGCCACTGGGGTTGCCCAGCTTCGTGTTCTTTGGGTTCATCCATGTTATGGCATGGATTGGGGCTTCTCCATTCCTCTTTAGGGCCGAATCATGTTTCATTATATGATGATCCACATTTTCTTTGTTCAGCCATTGATGGACCCACTTGTGCATTTTTGGTGAGAATAAAAGCTAAGCCTGAACCTCAAATGACCAGAAGCCATTGAAGAAGGTGGATCTTACCCAGCAAGAATTTAAAGAGGGATCCCTGGGTGGCGCAGCGGTTTGGCGCCTGCCTTTGGCCCAGGGCGCGATCCTGGAGACCCGGGATCGAATCCCACGTCGGGCTCCCGGTGCATGGAGCCTGCTTCTCCCTCTGCCTATGTCTCTGCGCCTCTCTCTCTCTCTCTCTCTGTGACTATCATAAATAAATAAAAATTAAAAAAAAAAAAAAGAATTTAAAGAAAAGTTTCCAGCAGCTTTTCCAGTGGTTTCCAGCAGTTGCCACTTGCTTCATCTAAGCCTTGTGCTGACTGCCAGCTTTGAAATGGGCTCTTCTTTTGCTAGTGTTGCTTTTGAGAACTGTTCCTGTGTGGGGGTGCTGTTTGTCTTCCTTCTTGGTTCTGGTGTACCATCAGAGAGGGGAGGGGAGGTGTTTCTTACAACAGGTAATACTATTGGGCTCCAGGACCCACGTCACTGCCACCTTTTGTCTCCAGAACCCTGAGAAATGGCTGAATCTGCAGGGAGAGCCTAGCCAAGTGCCCTTGATACATGGAGGAACCAGTAGATCTCAGGGGCAGGGGGAGGTGGCCATGGAAGGGGAGTCTGATTTCTGCTGGCCCAGAGGTGGAGTTGGGTGCTGTGGGCAGAGGGGATGGCTTGTGCAAAGGCCCTCAGATGCTGGAGCACATGAATGGATTCTGGTTTGGTATGTGTGGGCCCAGGTGCCCATGGTGCCTGTATCCACCGGCTTGGCCCTCCTGTTGGGGAGTAGAGTCCCAAGCCCACTACGTATTTTTCTAGGGAAGTTTTCTTCTACACACAGTTTTGCCACTAATTTCAGGGAGTCCTGGGCCCTGGAAGAAATCTTGCTCTTGTTTTTTTTTTTTTTTTTTGCCCAGCCTTGCAGTTCCTTGGGATGAAAAATGCATGGTCTGGACCTTGTCTCTGCTATGGAACGCCCTGCAGCCTGGTCTCATGTTCTGCCTACCTCTAGAGAGTCTGATTGAGGCCCAGCCTCAGCCTCTTATGCCCTCCAAGCAGGGTTCCTTAGCATTGTGGCTGGTGACCTCAGGCATGTTGCTGAACCTTACGGGGTCTTCTTTTCTTCATCTGGGAAATGGGAAAAACAGTATTCCTCCTTCACAGGATATTTTTGACAATTACCTGAGTTCAGACTTGTGAATTGCTACGGGCAGAGGTTGGGAGACTTGGCGGGCTCTAAACTTAGTGCTCAGCCTGTTGTAAATAAAGTATTATTGGCCATGCTCATTCATTTGTGCCTTGTTTGTGGCTGCTTTCCCAGTACAATGGTGGTTAAGTAGTTGGACAGTCCAAAATGCAAACCTGAATCGAATTATTCTTCCACCTGGCTTTTGCTGGTCACTGGCTTAGAGCTGTGCTGGGCATGTGCTTCCAGGTTCCCGGGTTCCTCGTCCGTGAGGTGGGGACAAAGTAGCAGCCCCCTGTAGGGCTGCTGTGGGTGTGCTGGGAATGAGGATGGGCTGAGTGAGGAGTGGTACCTGGTTTGGTTTCTGGGACCTCTCTGTGGACCTGAGCAGCGTGGGGGCCAGGTGGTTGAGGGCCTTGGGGCCTTTTCTGCATTTCCCCCGAACATCCTGAGTGCGGAAGGCCTAGAGTCCTGACACCAGCTTTCCCCATGTCACAGATGGACTCCATGAGGACAGAAGGCAAACCCGGGGACGTCCTGAGAACCTCGGGCCGTGTGGAACTTGGGAGGGCCTGTGGTGGGGGGAGGGGTGACCACATGATGGCACAGCCTCTGCTCGTCCTGAGATGGGGAGCACTTGGCAGCCCGTGGGGCTGCAGTTGTCCCAGGGAATAATGTGTCCTCTGTCCTCTGGGTGCAGCTGCCATGGGGGCGGGGAGGCGGCAGCCAAGAGCTCTTGCTGGGGCCTCCTTGGCCAGCAGCTGCCGGCGTGGCCTTGAGGATGGCTCAGGCGTAGGCTGGGTTCTGCTTGTGCTGGCCGCCAGGCCCGAAACCTGGGTTTTGGGGCAGGACAGTCCCAGCCCCCGCTTATGAGGCGCCTTACAGTCTGTCAGGCTCTGAGCTGAACTCTTTGTACACATTAGCTCATCCCAGCCACACAGCAGCCTGGGCGCAGGCAGGAGTTGTCCCATTGTACAGATGAGGAAGCTGAGACAGGGAGTGGGTGCCTGAGGTGCTTTTGGTCACAGTGCTGGGGGGTGGCTGAGTGGACTGGGATCTGAACCTGGGGCCTTGCACATCTGTGCTCCAGAGGCAAGGACTAGGTTTTGTTTTGTTTTGTTTGTTTTAACCTCCTCCTCCCCAGAGTACTCCTGTCACAGCTTGGGGCTCAGTAAACCCCAGTTGGAATGAGTGGGTCGATGGATAACCCAATGAAGGATTCCCCTGTTTGTTTGATCTAATTTTGAAAACTTTATTATACAAAGAGTAATCCTCAAAGAAGAAAAGCAGAAAAATATTGGACAATGAAACAAGGAAAGTTGAAAGCTTCTCCCCCAGTATCCATAGCTCCTTGCACCTCTGTCTTGTTCTCCTTGGTCTTGGGTCTCTGTGTGCATCTACAAAACTGGGCTTGTAGCCTATGTGCTATTCAGACTGTGTGCTATGAACAAATGTTCACGGAGGGTCAGCTGAGGCCAGGCTTTGGGGGCTTGGACATGGGGGTCTTGGTGCTTGTTCTCATGGAGTTTGGTTCAGTGGGAGGACATGGCCAGGTAGGTGGAGCACGAGAGAGATGTGTTGTGGGAGGAGGGAAGAGGGGAGGCTTCATGGCTTGAGGAAAGGTTGTGAAAACTTCCATAGTGCTGGGGCCTGAGGTCATGGCTGGAAACTTGGGGGGCATGGCAGGGCATGCTGGCTGAGATGCCCTCTGCACTGATTCCGTGCTTCTCTTCTCTCCACTGCAGGATCGCAGCCTGGCGGGCAAGCTGGAGCCTGTGTCTCCTCCCAGCCCGCCACACGCTGACCCTGAGCTGGAGCTGGTACCTCCGCGGCTCTCCAAGGAGGAGCTGATCCAGAACATGGACCGGGTGGACCGCGAGATCACTATGGTGGAGCAGCAGATCTCCAAGCTGAAGAAGAAGCAGGTGCGGATGGGTGGGGTGGTGGCGCCTCGGGAGAGGACACTGGGAGTAGTAGTGAATGTGTGCCGAGCCTGCCCACGTGTCCGCTCATTTTCCTGCCCTTACGTCCACTGTGCAAGAGTGCTATTCTGTGCACAGAGGTAGCTTTTGTGTGACATGCTCCTGGTTTGGTTGAGTAACTGAACTTCTAGCTTAGCGTAATTTGAATTAAACGACACACACCTACACTTGAATAAGCCTCAAGTGGCTACTGTACCAGCTGGCACAGGGCTGCAAGGTGAGGCTAGGCTTCACAGCCAGGCTTTCAGTGTTCTGTTCTCATTGCTGCCGTCCCCCACCCCCCAGTGATGTGGGGAGGACAGTTACCCTCACCTGCCTCTGGCCGAGGCCCTGGAACCTGAGTGGGCAGGGCCTCCCAGCTCTGCCTTTAAACAGTCACCTCCCCCCAGCTGCAGTTTTCTTTCTGTGAAATGGGCACAGATTTGATAGCCCATCATAGGGTTGTAAGGAGGGAACAGGGTCATGTGGTAAAAAAGGGTCTTTATGGTAACCGTTGAGACCAGAGAAAAGTTAACATAAAGATTTGTGATGTTAATTCTGTAGTTTAATTTTTAACATTAACTGATATAAAATTAACTGATGATCTACATTTTCCCAGACCCTCTCAGGCTTCCCTTGGCATCTTTAGGTACCTGCTCAGACGCCCCCTCCACAATGGTGCCCTTCCTGGCCTTTGTAGGAGCCCTCATCCCCAGTTACCCTCTATTCTGGGGCCAGCAAATCCAGCCAAATCTGGCTTGATGCCTGTTTTTGTAAAAGTTTTATTGGCACACAGTCACGTTCATATGTGTTGTTTGTGGCTGCCTTCAAGATACAGTGTTGGGCAACTATTCCTTGTGTCTAGTTTTAGGACAGCCACCAGTCTGCATCATGTTTCTGTCTTCTGAATATTTCCTAGAAGTGGAATCCTATAATACATCACCTTGTGTGTCTGGCTGCTTTCACTTGGTGAAAGGCTCATATTGTAGCTGATGTCAGTATGTCCTTCCCTTTTTTTTTTTTTTTTTAAAGTAATCTCTATGCCCGACATGGGGCTTAAACTCATGACCCCAAGATCGAGAGTCACATGCTTCACCAAGCCAGCCCATCTCCCCGTTTTAAGGCCACATAATACCCTTTGTGTGGCTGGACCGCATTCTGATCCCCATTCATCTGATAGAGGCTTGGGTTGCTTCCATCGTTTGAATGTCGTGAACACAGGGGCTGTGACCACTTGGTTCACGTTTTTGCTTGTGCATCTTTTTTTTGGTTCCTTGGGTTACATACCTGGGAGTAGATTGGCCAGGTCATATAGTAACCCCATGTGTGACAATTCAAGGAGCCACCAGATTGTCTCCTATGGCCACTGTGTCTCCTCGTGTTCCTGGCAGCCAAGCAAGGGCCCTCAGTTCCCTCACAGCCTCACTGACGCTTGTTGCCCAAGTTTCTGTTTTCCTTCTAGCCTTCCTGGCGGGTAGAGGTGGGATTGTGGCTTCGATTTGCTTTCAATAGCCAGTGTCTGGCTGTGTGTAGCAGCACATTATGTGCTTCAGTGACTTGGTCAAGGCTCACAGAGCTGGTGAGCGATTGAGTGAGGTTCGATTCCGGCCTTGGCGGAGTTCTGTGTCACCAAGATCTCTGTGCGCCTCAGGTGGTATCTCTCCTTGGTGCTTCAGGGAGGGCCACCTTCATAAATTGTAGAGAATCTGCTTCCTGGCTGTAATGTTTCTTCCACCTCTTGGCATCCATTGTTTTGCACTTTAGGGGGCTTTTCCCAGGTTTTGCCAGATTCTGGCTGCCCTTCTGGAAGCTACCAGCAGGGGTCACTGTGGGACTGAAGCAGCTTGGCTCTACCAGCCAGGCCTTCCTTGGTGCCAGCGGAAGCCAGGACTAGATTTTCTGGCTCTTTCTGTGTGGCTCTTGTCTTGGCCGCCTTTTTTTTTTTTTTTTTTAATTTTTTATTTATTTATGATAGTCACAGAGAGAGAGAGAGAGGCAGAGAGAGAAGCAGGCTCCATGCACCGGAAGCCCGACGTGGGACTCGATTCTGGGTCTCCAGGGATCGCGCCCTGGGCCAAAGGCAGGCGCCAAACCGCTGCGCCACCCAGGGATCCCCTTGGCCGCCTTTTTGAGTTTCTCTTGGTTTCTTCCATGGTCAGTAGTTGTGGGTAGACTATGCATTACGAGCAGAAAATGGTGTTCTGCTCTCATTCAGGATGCCCTGTCAGATTGCACACACCCAGGCATTGGTCTTCTGTGGGACTGTGGACAAATGTCTTAAGCTCTCTAGTCTTCACTTTGTCTTTTCAGAGGAAAGTGGACAGCAGCATGAAGGGATGTTCTATGGTGTTTGGGGGAGGAGGGTCCAGTGTGAAGAGCACAGGGCAGATGAGGATGAGGAGGTGCTTGGTTGGTGCTGTGTCCATTGTGTGCCTCTGCACGTTTTAACCTTTGTACCTGCTCTCCAGGGTGGAGGCTGTAATTATCCCTTGTTTCTAGGTGAGGAAAGTGAAGCTCAGGGAAATTTAGCAATTTCCAACTTAGAGAGTAAGGAAGTACTGGAACTAGGATTCCAGTCCACACAGCTGGGCTCCAGAGTCCATGCAGCCTCCCCTGATGGTGATGGTCCTTGTAGGGATGAGGAGGCTAGCCGCTGGCTTTTAGCGAGCCCCCGGCCATGCTGTCCATGCACAAAGTTGTCAGAGAGGCACGGTGATAAGCCCCATTTTACAGACCAGGAAACGGCAGCATGGTGCACCCAGCAGCCTGCTTTTACTCACCTAGCTCATAAGTGGCCAAAATGGGATTCGAACCCAGGAAGGCTAGCCACATAGTTGAGAGCCTGGAATGGGCCCTTCCCCACGCAGCTGGGGCCTCTCCAGAGCTCGGGGTCCCCTAGTGACTCAGAGGAAATGGTTAGCAGCCTGACTTCCTGTGCGAGTCCACTGGGCCTGCTGGGCTGCGTGGTGCCGCCCCTCTACCATGGGGGTGCTACATCTTGCCTTCCGCCCGCCAGGGTGCTCACCGCTGCACTCTCCCCCTTTCCACAGCAACAGCTGGAGGAGGAGGCTGCCAAACCCCCAGAGCCCGAGAAGCCGGTGTCGCCGCCACCCATTGAGTCAAAGCATCGCAGCCTGGTGCAGATCATCTACGACGAGAACCGGGTATGCCCTGCCCCAGCCTGTGGAGGCCCCCACTCCCTGTTCTCCCATTGGCCTTGGGCCGACTGCCGGGTGGGATGCAGGTGTCGCCGGGAAGGACCACCTTTCTCCCTGGGCCTCAGCATTTCTGTCTGAGAAACGGGGACCTCTGCAATAGCCCATGTATGCACAGATCTGGGTTGGGGAGTGGGAGCAGGAAGGGGCAGCCCATCTTGGTGTGGCTCTGGCTGTTCTGCTCAGGTGTACTGACTGGTATGGACTGTGGCTGGCCTGTGGGATTCAGTGTGGAAGTGTAGGCATCAAGTTGTAGGAGAGCCTCAGAGGCCAGTTGATTGGAAGGTCAGGGTGAGAAGGGTGGGGCGATCAGTTCAGCACTCAGAAACTGAGGCCCAGAGAGGTTGAGTGACTTGTCCAAAGCCATACAGCTGGAAAATGGTAGAACTGGGACTTGAACCCATGAGCCGTCAGGTCCTAGATCATGAGCCCTGGCCTCTGTTGATGTTTAGCTCTGCAGGGGGCCTTTGGCATGGTTGAACACAGTATCTGAGGCAGGCTGTGTGGGCCCCCAGAGGTCTGGAGGGCAGGTACTGGCTGATTGGAGGGGCTTGGTCTTGGGGGGATGACTTAGAGTAGCAGAACAGAGTGTCTCCAGGGGCTAAAGCCCAAGGGCCCAAGGTGCCCTGAACTGGAACCTGGTTTTTGGTGAGGCAGGGACCTTGTCATCTGAATCAGGCATCTGGGAGCCCAGCTCCCCTGGTTTATGGTTGACTCTTTGCAGATGTGCCCAGGGCCTGTGGATGTGAGTCCTCTCCCTTATTTTACAGATGAGGAAACATCTGTCCCCACAGAGGGACTGTTTTTTTTTTTTTTTTTAAGATTTTATTTATTTATTCATGAGAGACACAGAGAGAGACAGAGACACAGGCAGAGGGAGAAGAAACAGGCTCTATGCAGGAGCCCGATGCGGGACTCAATCCTGGAACTCCGGGATCATGTCCTGAGCCGAAGGCAGACAGACGCCCAACCGCTGAGACACCTAAGCGTTCCTACAGAGGGACTGTTTCTTGTCTGAGGTCACACATTGAAGCGTGACATATGGGGGACGTCTTCTCCCTGCCTTGTCTTCTCTGGTTCCCCCTTCCAGCCTGGGGGTCCTTCTGGTCCTTCCCAGCTGTCTCTGCTGTTGGATCTGCCCCTGGCTGTGGGAATCAGTGCTCAGAATCCACGTGGGGGCTGGGGAGGACTGGGGCCTAGGAACTTGTGTTTGGTGCTCGTGGCTGTAGTTCCAGGCGAGGAACTACTGGATCAATTGGTTTGGCAATGCTTCCACCTTTTGAGGCAGCAATAGATGCAGGGTGTGGCCTGCTGGAGGCCTAGGGCTGTATGCTGGACCTTGTGGGGCTGGTTACCCTCCTCACCTACTCACCCTTCCCGACCCCCACCCCAAGTAACACTAATAACAATTGTGACAAGAGGAGAGCCGATGGATCACGTGTGCTTTAGCCAGATGCCCTGGGTTCATATCCTGTCTTTACCACTCCCTGGCTCTGTGACCTTGGGCAACTCACTTAAACCTCCCCATGACTCACCTGCAGAGTGATGATAATTATAGTAGCTCCCTTGCACGGTGGCGTGGGAATGAAATGAGTTCATCATAGAGTGCCCTTAGAACAATGTCTGGCACTGAACAAGTGCTAGCTGGCGCAGTTATTGTTGCCAGTGCTCATTTCTGGTTATTGCTTACATTATGTATGGTTTCACTGAATTCTCTCCAGACCTGTATGAAACAAGTACTATTATTCTCTTCATTTTACTCATAAAGAAGCAGAGGCTAAGAGAGGGGAGATGAGCTGCCTGAAATTACACAGCAAGCGAGCTTTGAGGCTGGAAATCAGAGCCAGGATTAAGCCTATTGTGGAGGAGACAAGGGCAGGGCCCCTGGGTGTTGCCCTGGACGGCCCCGCTGCCTACCCTCCCTGATCTCCGGGTGAGGGAGCAGGCATGCTTCACTCCAGCAGCCGTAGAGGCAGGTTGGTGGCTTTTGCCCAGGATGTCAGCACAGTGCCCTTGGTCCTTGTCGGAGGCCAGGAGACCCCAGCAGGCTGCAGCCCCCAGCCCTTCCCAGCCAGGTGGACTTGAAGGCACAGGCTTTTGGTGCCCACCGTAGGAAGAAGCTTGCTCCACTTCCCAGCTCCGAGACTGGCCTGCTATTCCCTCCGGTCTGTCCTTGAGTTCCTGGGGTCTGTCCTTGAGGTTTCACCAGCTTTTCCCCAAAGAGCTGTGGCTGCAGATTGGGTTGGTCTTTGGCGACTTGGCCTCAGCACTCCCCCTCCCCCAAGACCAGTGAAGGCACCCCCCCTTCCAGTTCTTTCTCAGGATGGTCTCCCTGCCAGAATTCCCGCCTCCTTCCGTTTAGATTTTCTGCAGTTTCTCTGTGAGTGGGCAGGTGGGGGGAGGCGGAGGGGGCTTGGATTCCAGGCCAGTCCATGCCCGAATGAGCTGGGTGGTTTATTTTAGTCTCAGGTCTTTGGTTGCACTGGGTCCTGGCCATATTCTTGAAGTCATGGGGTTGATGTGGCCGAGATGGCTGGAAGAAGGGCTTTGTAAACTGTAAAGTGCTAGCTCTACCAGGAAGGCTCCAGGAAGTCAAGACTCTTGGATACAAGAGACGAAAACTCAGCTCAAACTGATTGAGGCCCGAGAGGGGTTATTGATGAGAGGTCTTGTAATGCAAGTTGGTGTTCATTGCTTCAGGTATGGGTGGATCCAGGCACTTAAATGGAGATGTTTGGGAGCTCCCCATCCCCATCCTGGCTTTCTCCATGCCAGGGTCATTCTCAGGCAGAGTTCCCCAGGACATGGAAAAGCTGCTGCCACCTTAGGTCCACCTACCTCCCAGGGTGGATAGGAAATAGTCCTCATGTTGGCGCTTGCTGGTTGGCTGGAGTCACATGCTCATTTCTCAGCCAGAGCCAGGCCTGGTAGGGGAGGGGGTGTGTGTGGGGGTCTGAATACACTGATTGGTCAGGGCTGGGTCTCAGGCCCACCCTTGCATCTTGGAATGCTGTCAGCCCCACCACAGCTCCATCCCAGGGACTAGATAGAGGGAGGGAGAATCTCCTGAGATGAGAGGAGGCTGGCCAGGCACGTGCAGCTCCCAACCCCGGGCTGGTGATGACCTTGGTGGGGTCCCAGAGTGCTGGTGTTGCCCACTGTGCCCCAGCACCTTGAATGCTGGGGGCTCAAGCTCAATTCCTGGATTTCATTCCGATGGTGACCTGATGGTGTAGGAGTGGGTAGGTTAGGTTAAACTGAAGCTCTGGTAATTGCCCCGAGGCCTCATAGCTGGCGAGTAGTGGCAGGTTAGGACTCTGGTTCCTGGGATGCTGAGAGCATACCCCTGTCAGTCAAGTGCGGGTGCCCTAGGGGGCATTACACTCATCCTCTTCATCCATCCATCCATCCATCCATCCATCCATCCATCCAGGAGCCCTGTAATAGAACACTTGCCTCATGCCTGCCACAGGGGGCAGGGGGGTACAGTAGTGGCCCACTCACATTGATTCTCTGGTGGGGGGACACAATCACACCCACACACCACCACACCTGGGCATCCTATTGATTGGAGGATTTTGGCCCTCATTGTCCCTGAATTCCCGTTTTTCTCCATTTACACTCTCACTCTGCCCCAGCCTTCTTGCCGCAGGAACTTTGCACTGGCTGTGCCTTCTGCCTGGAGCTCCTTTTTCACACTGGGCTTACTTACTTGCTCCTTCAGCTCTTTGCTCAGATGTCCCCTTTTCAGCAGGGCCTGTTGTGATCCTCTGTTTGATCCTGAAAGCCCTTCATGGGATGTTTGTCCTCTTCCTTTCTCTTTTTCCCTCATTCCCACTCCACTGAATACGATTCATATTTGATTTATTCTGTTTATTGTAAACAGAAGTTCTGTGAGAGCAGGGATCTTTGCCTCTGTTTCCCAGCTGGATCCCCAGCACGGAACAGTGCCCAGCAAACAGTGGGTACTCAGCAAACATTATTTGAATGAATGAAGGATGGCAGAGAGGAGGGGAGACTCTTTCCCCTGGAAGAGTCCTCTGGTTTTGGGGGTGCTGGGTTTGGTCCCTGGCCCCCAGTGGAGGTTAGCATGGAAGGGGGTCCCTCCATGTGGGCTGAATTGGGGCCTGGAGGCTGGGTGGGCAGGAAGCCCCTCAGCTACTCTTGGCAGGAGCAGCCAGAATTTACAGCCCCTTGGGGGATCAATAGGATTAAATTTTAATCCTCCTTCCTTCCCTGCTGGTTCCTCTGAGAGGTGGATGACAAGGGTCTGTCTCTAAATGCCTTGCCGGCTGGAAAACGCAGCTTCCCTGCCAGGCAGGGCCTGGCTGGCTTTTCTGCATGTTGGACTTGGTTGGGCTCATTATCCATTCGGGGCACATGGCTGAGGCACCCAGGCCACGCAGAGGGAGCCAGTTGAGCAAGGAAGGTTTTCCCAGCCTCCCAGGAGCTGCCTCTGTGGGCAGGGCTGGGCAGGTGCACACAGATGGCAGGACAGGAGGCAGAGTTGTGCAGGGTCCCTGGGGGGAGGAATGGGGGATGGGGTGGGCCGACATCCCTGAGGAGAGTGCATCCTGGGGGAGATCCCAGCCCAGGCAGAGGCTCAGAGAGGGGACAGGGTCTCATTTGATCTTCAGAGGGAGTGTGTGAGGGCCAGGAGGTAGAGGCCTTGTGGGTCTAGGAGCATGCTCACACTTGAGAGTTCGAGTAAAACAAACATGTGGCACTACTGCAGGCTGCACAGATGAGGGTCACGTAGCATGGCGCTGATGCTGGAGGGAGTCTGGGCAGTGGGCAGGACTTGCACTGGGTCTGCAGATATGGGAGCTGTTGGGACGAGCCAGAAGGATAGAGGGTTAGGAGGCTGTTTATGGGGGCAGAGCACCTCTGTGCACGTATGTGTGCACGTGTCTGAGGGGACCTGGGGGTGACTGTGTGCATGTGTGCGTGAGTCAGCACATGAGGGGCACACCTGTGGTTATTTGTGTGGTGCTCAGTGATGAGGGAATCAGAGTAAGACCCATGTTTTCTTTTGCCATACATTTCAAGCATCTTAGGAGTAAGAATTTTGTTTTTTGTTTTTTCTAAAGACTTATTTATTTATTTTACAGAGCTCATGTGCATGTGTGTACACACGCACTGGCATGCAGGGGAGGAGCAGAGGGGCCGGGGGCAGAGGGAGAGTCTTAAGCAGATTCCATGCTCAGCACCTATTGATGCAGGTGACTGTGGGGTTTCATGACCTGGGCACCCAGGTTCTCTGGCCACTGGGACCACGGGGTCCCCTGCACGAGTGCAGTCTCTTGTCAGACCCTAACCTGCCGCCCCAGTGCCTGGTGAGGGACCTGCTCCTACCTGCCTGTTGGCATGAGCTCCTAGGTTTGCCCTCTGGTTGCTGAGCAGGGCACCCTCTGGCAGGGGCCTCCCAAAAGCCAGGCATAGTGGGGCCCCATGGGTCCTCAGAGGTTTGGTTTTGGTTCTCAAGGTGGTAAGACGCTGTCAGCTGAGGGGGTGGGAGGGACTATCAGGTGCGGGACACAATCTGGCCCACACCTGTGTTCCTGGCCATGCCCCTTGCTAGGCGGTGGGAGAATTCCCCTCTATTTGAAGGGAGACATTAAGAGAGAAGTGACAACATGCATGTCACTTTGTTCCTTGCAGAACGTCCTTGTCAAAGTCCAGGAGGAGTGTAGACATTTTGCCGGTGGTGGACCAAGGCCCGGGATAGGTAGAGTGGCTGGACGAAGCTTAGAGCAAGCAGAGCTGACTCCCAGATGTTGCCACTGGTGGACAGATGTGACAAGAAAGCCCTGCCTGTGTAGGGGAGAGGCCCAATAGGCAGGACATCCCCCCAGCTCCCCATGAACTGACAAGTAGATTCCTCCCACTCCACCCCTTCAAGCTGAGCCATGAAGTGGGATGGGGGTGGGGGTGGGGATGAAGCAGGAGCAGGGGTGTGGTGGCATGGGGAGAGGAAATGCCCCCAGGGAGGCATGAGGAGGTGGGCCTGCTGTGTCCCATCCTTTACCCGCCACTGGACCTGTGTACTTCAGGTGGGCTGCATGACCCAAATCTCAGCTTTCTTGTGTGTAAATGGGCTGATGCTAGAACCTTCTGAATAGAGTTCTTGCAGGAATCCAAATACATGGGGCATGTGGAAGATCCAGTAGAGGGCCTGGCTTAGGTAGGAGCCACCTAGTGTGAGCCATGGTCTTCTGCTTGTTGTCAACCACAGTAATAGCGATAGGCAACCCTTACTATATAGTGCCTACTGTGTGCCAGATCCTGATTTCAGGGTGTTACAGCTGCCCAAGGTGGTGTTCTGGTCACCCGTTCTCCAGAGGAGGAAGCTGAGGCTCGGGAAGATGGAGGGACTTGCCCAAGGCCACGCAGTTAGTAAGTGGACTTGAACCTGGGCCAGCTGGCTCTGCGCCCCTTGCTCTGGGGCAGCACATTGTCCAACCCTGCCAGTGCTGCAGCAACTTTGGGGTAATTTCAGGATCGGTTTCAGTGAGTAAACTGGGGGAGAGTGGTGTCATCTTTGGAAAATTGAAGTGCATCTTAAAAGGACCCAGGGTCGCTGAGGGCTGAGCTGTGGAGCTTGGGGAAGTGTTAGGAGCAGAGACACTCCTGTACCAGGCATGTGCTGGCAAGCTGGCTGCTCAGGGCACCCCATCTCCTGCACTCCCTGTGACTGGCAGATGGGGAAGGGACTCCTCCCTGCTGTCTTCTCCAGCGCCTACAAGAAACCCCCTCTCTGGGTGCCCGTGGTCCTGAGAGTGATGATGTGGTTGAAGATGGAATCTGCTATGGTTTGTAGGACGTAGGCTTCTGCCACCTGCCCCCCTACCATGGGCCTAGTACCAAGATCCAAGACCCATGCTTACCTGTGTGATGCGGCAGTGTCCAGGGGCCCAGCCACTTCAGCCATACCCTTCCTGTGCTTGGCATCTCTCCTTTATCTAGTTGCCGCTGACCCCCACAGAACCTCATGAATGCACAGAAACTCTGATTCATCCCTCAAAGACCACCTTATGCATCCCAATTGTTACCTTTCTGGAGACACTTGAGCCTGGCTTTCATGCCTTGCATGCCCACCACACATACCTTTCTCTGCTGAGCTTCCTAGGCTGCCATCGCTACTCCTGACCAGCTGCTCATTGGACTTGGGGTTATTGCAGGCAGGGGCTGGGCCTCATTCATTTCGTGTTTTGCCCCCATGCTCAGTACAGAGTGGGTGCTAGTCAAAATAGTCACATGATTGTGAAATACAAGAATCCTAGAAAGGGTATCTCTGAGCACCTCTATCCTCCTCCCCCTCCCCGGCTGGAGGCACCAGCTCTGAGGTAATTGCAGTTTAGGGAGCTGCTCTATCCCCTCTCTACCGCATCCCTTCTTTCACTTGACCTGGCTCAGGAACTCTATCTTTAGCCTCATGGTAACCCTCCCTTGTTTTTTGGCATGGCCAGGGCAGGGGTGGTTGGCAATGACTGTCAGGATGGTGCCCGTCCCAAGCCCAGGGGAGGCCCTGTGTGGGCCTTGGCCCTTGTCTGTCTTTCTTCTTGGAGCCTGGAGGTCAGCAGGAATTTTTCTCCTTACGTTATCTTTCCATGCCTCAGTTTTGTGGTCTGCTAAATGGGGACACATCTCATATCTGCCTCATGTTGTGCTTGTGTGTGATTTAAGTCTTGATAACATGTGCTCTGTGGTCATGTTTGGCTCATAGTAGGTCCTTGGTGACGTGGCAATTATTACAGTAATGATTTGCCCCCTGATTTTTTTGGCCCCCAGCCACATGCTGAGGCTGCTGGTCTTGGGGTTTTGACTCTGCACAAAGGGACTGAGAGCATGGCTTGTTCTTGGTTGGGCTGGGCCCAGAGCTCTAGGTGGAGCTAGTTGTTGGGGCCAGCTTAAGCCCACCTACATATCCACGGTCTGTCACCAGGGGCTAAGAGGGGGGATGGGTTGGCTTTCAGCAGTCCTCCTCCCCACTGTGACACCAGGAGCCCAGGCCCCAGATTCTGTTGTTAGCCGTGTTTCCCAGGACTCTGGGAGCGTCCGCTTTTAGTGGGTCTGGACTTGGGAATTGTTGCTGGTGACTTGCTTGGCCTGTTGTCCTGGCTCTTTGCAGATACTAGATGGTCTCCCTGAGGTGGACTGAGTCAGGAGCAGCCAGCGTCTCCTGAGTCACAGGAGGACTCAGGTCTGCCCCCATGCACGCCATGGGCACCCCACTTTCCACGGCACATGGTGGCCCAGATCTGATGATAACCCTGCTAAAGCCACCGTCCATAGCTCTCTGCCCATCTCTTACCCCAGCTGGCCCCAGGCCATCCCCTGGGCCTCCTGAGAGCAGGCCCTGGTGGTCCCAGGCTGGGGGCCCGTGGGGTCTGGCACAGGCACAATGTCCGCCTTTATGGCCGGGCTTGGAGGTCCAGCTTGCTGCATTCACAGCCACTGAGCATTTTCTGCCACATGTTCCTGTTTTCCTAATAAGTCCTGGGTTGTGAGTGGGGAGGGAGGTGGGGAGGCCCCTGGGCAGCTCAGAAATAGTCACATGATTGTGAAATACAAGAATCCTAGAAAGGGTATCTCTGAGCGCCTCTATCCTCCACCACCGCCCCCCCCCCCCCCCGGCTGGCGGCACCAGCTCTGAGGTAATTGCAGACACCCAGCCAGCTCCCAGGCGGAGGAAGGCATCTTGGGCCTGGCAGAGTGGCCTGCTGGCGAGGGGCTGTGCCCACAGCACTGGGCCCTGGAGGACGTGGGCCTGGGGTGGGGGGGCCAGGCAGCAGAGAACACCGCGTGTTTGTTAGAATCGAAACTTGGCCGGCTTGCCAGGGCCGCTGCAAGGGGTGTTGAGGCCCCTCTGTTTGTTTCTAGCCTGGGGAGGGTTTGCAGGGGGATCCTGCCTACACCCCTCACCCTCTGGGGCTGTGGATTGGCTGCTGGGTTGGGCAGCTGCCTGCTGTTCCGGAGGCCTCTATTTATAATCTGTTTTTTTTTTTTTTTTTTTTTTTTTTTTAATTTTTCCTCCTCTCCATCACCCTGCAGAAGAAGGCCGAAGCTGCACATCGGATTCTGGAAGGCCTGGGACCTCAGGTGGAGCTGGTGAGCTGGGGTACAGGGTGGGCAGCTCTGGACAGGGGTGGCTAGAAAGGTGGGCAGGGCTGCAGGTGGGCGTGGAGGGGAAGGAGGAAGTCAGCTGTTGCCAAGGCTGCCCTGTCCTCTGGAGGAGGCAGGAAATACACCCTTCTGATAAGAGGGACTGGCTGATAGCAGGCGGGTGGGTGGGCCTGCCATGCTGGGGCTGGGGGTGGGGAGGAGGGGAGCTGGCTCTCCTGCAGTCAGGACACAGTGGAGTCCAGCGCAATTGGACTGGCTTGGCATAGGAAGCCCATACCCCGGGCCAGGTGATCTCTGCTACTGAATAGGTGTGTGGACCTAGGCAGTTCTCTTAACCAACCTATCCCTCAGTTTCCTCATCTGTAAATGGCAGTAATAACACAGGTCCCATTGGGTTGTATTGAAGATTAACCATATTGATTTTTGTGAAGCACTGAACACAGTGCCTGGCAGACTGTAAGCACTGAGCATTTATAGTTCATCTTACTCATATTATTGTTGTCTGCAAGTTTTCTGATGGGAAATGCCCTCTCAGCAGCAGAGCTGGGAAGCAGACCCCAGGCCTCTTCTCTCTCAGGCACCCAATCACATGCCTGTGTCCTCAACACCTTTATGTGTCAGAGAGAGACGTTGAGGGAACTCCCAGCTGATGGGAAGCCTCAGCCCCAGGAGAAGTGAGCAGAGCCCCACCTGCCCAGGACCGGTCAGTGGGACCAGTCTGTGTCCCACTGGGCAGGTTGGCACAGAGCTGCAGGGCAGCATGTAGGGGCATACACATGGGCTGGCCATGCGGGGCCCCATGCACGTGGCACGTCTAAGGGGATATCTGTGCATGCTCATGCCTAATAAAGTCTTCTGCATCTGGAGCCTAATTCTCAACTTGGCTCCACCGTGTGTTTGCTGAGTAGCCTTGAGAAGAGGACTGGGTTTTCTTCTCTGTGGAATGGGAAGACCAGGATCTTTGGGGGATGGGGCAAGATGCTGCACTGTTAAGGCTCAGCACAGCCTTGCTTTGTCGTAAGTGCTTCGTTGTTGTGAACACTTAGGAGGGTTGAGCTGTTTGCCCCTGGGATTGTTTCTTCAGTGAAGCTGCGCCCTAGTCTGGAGTCCATGTGCTTGGGCCACGGGGAGGCAGGGCGCATCCCGGGTTCTCTCAGAGGACAGGGCTAGGCAGGCGATGGATGGCTTCTAGGGCTCTGGGATGGGTGGCAGGCACCCCTCCTGGGGCTTGTTTCCCTGTTGGATGTGATTTCTGGGATGTCTCTGATACCTCCCCGTTTTTTATTGAGATATAACCCACAAGTTATACAATTCATCCACTTAAAGTATATGGTTAAGTGTTTTGTAGTATGTTCATGGGTGTGTGTGACATCTCCACAGGCAACCTTAGAACGTTTCACTATCTCAGAAAGAACTTCGTGTTCTTAACTGTCACCACCTTATCTTTCCATCTCTCCCTCCCCCCCCACGTCCCACCACTCACTTGCTCTCATTTGCTGTCTGTCTCTGCAGCCTTGCCTGCTGGAGAGTTCGTTTCAATGGACACATACACCATGTGGCCTTTTGTGACTGGCTTCTTTCACTCAGTGTAATGTTCTCAGGGTTCATCTATGTTGTAGCATGTGTCAGGACTTCATTCCTATTTAGGGCTGAATAATATTCCACTGTGGGTACATCACATCTGTTACCCCATTTATGCATTGGTGGACATTAGCCTCTCTGTGCTTTGGGCCATCACAAATAGAGTGGCCTTGAACGTTACCATACAAGTCTCTGCATGGGCAGCTTTTCGTTGCTTTTGGTTGTATATCTGGGACCAGAATTGGTACGTCATGGTTACTCTATGTGTGGCCTCTTGAGGATTGGCGGACTGTTACCCCAAGCTGTAAACCATCTTCCATTCCCACCAGTAAGCTGCTGCTTGCTCCAGTTTCCCCTCTTGCCAGCAGAGATGGCAGGACTGAAGGCGGTACCCAACCATTTCTAGACCTGGCAGCTCTCCCTCTCCCCTTTTCTGACCTAATGAGTCCCAGGGGCATCCTGAGTGGAGGTGTGGGTACAGGTTGCTGTGTCCAGATGCCCGAGGAATGCCCAGGGCCAGGCTGCCCTCCTGGCGAAGTCAGAGAACACCCAATCCCTGACCCCAAGGCCTTGCAGCCTGTCCCTGGGCTGAGTGCTCAGGGGAGCAGGGTCAGCCTCCCAGTAAGTGTTGTGAGGCCGCCCACTGGGCTCACAATCCAAGTGATCCTTTTCTGGGTCTTCCAGGGGGAGGGGTTGTCCCCTCCTTGGGGATCTCCAAGCGGAGATTCCATCAAGGCTGGGGACGCAGGAGGCTGAGGTCTGGAGTGTCTGTTTGGCGGGCTGTGTGGCTGTCACTGGAGCCTCCTGAAGTGACCTCAGTGGGTTCTTGGCTTGGTGGCCTTCAGTGGGGCTTTGCAGAGGACTCACAGTGACAGAGTCCCCGCTTTGTGCCTGGCCTCGTAGAGGGGTCACTGTCCATTTTCTAGATGAGGCTTGGAGAGGGCAGTTCCTTGTCTGAGGTCACAGAACAAGAAATGAGGCAGAGAGGTATGCCGAACTTGTGGGATTGCAGCCAGCTGAGGTCAGCCCTCTGTCTTGGTCACCAGAAGGCCCCACTGAGCAGAAGTGTCCTCCAAGGAGAGGCAGCTCAGAGGTGTAGCCCGTGCACAGGTTCCTTCATGGAGGGAGGGCCTGGTACTGCTGATCCTAGGCCTTCTGGGCACTGGGCTGCACCGTTGGGGAGTGCAGCTCCACGCTGGTCTCATCTGCAGCCAAGGCGCCCTTGGCCTAGGGACAGGCTGCGGGGGGGGGGGGGGGCGGGGGGGTTCAGGATAAGGATGGGTGCTCTCTGACTTTGTGGGAGGGCAGCCAGGGGGCCAAGGGGAAATTTGCAATGGAAAGCAAGTGAATAGCATGGACTGGGTTGAGTACTCACCCACTCCATCCCAGGCCTGCCAGTCCCATATCCCCCAGTATCCGCCCCACCCCCACAGTCCCTGAACTGCCCCCTGGGGTGGGGGGGGAGGAGGGGATACTGGATGGGGGGTACTGAGGGAGTTAACTGGGGGTGTTATGAAGCCTGGAGGAGGGGCGCTGTGGGGGGGGGGAGGGTGTGGGCCGCTGCAGCCCCCACCCTCTCCCCCGCGGCTTTGAGTCATCGCTTTCCTTCCTGTTCAGAGGTGCTATTTTAAGAACGTGGTGTCACCAGAGGGTTGAGGGCCGGGGCTGACACTTCATTTCTTAGCAGCTCGGTCCACCTGGGTTGCTGGCTGTTCTTGGCCACCCTGCCAGCTGGCTGCAGTCAGGCCCAAAAGGGACCACCCCCCCTTCTCCCGGAGACCAGTGCTGCTTTCCTTGTCATGTCTGCTTTATAGCCTTGCACGTCCCCCGCCTTGCACTCTCTTTCTGCCCTCTGAATTGTTCGGGCTGTGCCCCCATTTTTGGAGGAGGAGATGGAAGTGTGGGGAGGGCAAAGAGACAGGCCTGGGGCCCCCAGCCAGGAGAGTGGGTCTTCCCGGCAGTACCTTGGTCTTTGTCTGTGGGAGGGAGCTTCCCTCTTGGGTGTTGTGTCCCCCTGACGGGGGTTGGGGGCTGGAGTCTGTGAGGTAGGAAGAGGTGGAGGAAAGCCACCATGGGTGTGAGTGAGGTGAAGGTCCTGTCCTGGCTGCCATATTGGGACTTATCTCCTGGGACCCAGGGAGGCCTTGCCTGGCCCTTGTGCAGCACCCCCTGCAGGTGGCCAGGAGAGCTATAAGGGAGCCTCCCTTGGACCCTGCTTTTTTCTGAGCTGTGCACCTGCCAAGGATGGGATGTGGCCCCTCTGACCCCCATCCCACTCGGGCCTTCAAGAGGGGCTGCCCCGGGAGTCTGTCACCATGGTAATGAACAGCCTGCCAGGTGCTCTGGGCCCAGACACTTCCTTCCCTCCTGAGACTCACTTTACCTCGAAGAGCGCTTAGTGAGTGCCTCCTTGGGGGAAAGCCCCTGTGATTAGAGGCTGTGAGCCCCACAGTGTTCCCTGAGTTCCCAGTGTTGAAAGTCGCCTGAGGGCCAGGCTGCTCTGTCCTCATCTTTACCTAGCAGGGCAGGTGGCCACAGGTGAAGGTGGGTTTGGCAGGTCACAGGCCAACTGTGACCCAGTTGCACCTCAGAAACCTATCTCCCAGGGACCCCTGGGTGGCGCAGTGGCTTAGCGCCTGCCTTTGGCCCAGGGTGCGATCCTGGAGACCCGGGATCGAATCCCACGTCGGGCTCCTGGTGCATGGAGCCTGCTCTCCCTCTGCTTCTCCCTCTGCCTGTGTCTCTGCCTCTCTCTCTCTCTCTCTCTCTGTGTGACTATCATAAATAAATAAATAAATAAATAAATAAATAAATAAATAAATAAATAATTAAAAAAAAAAAACCTATCTCCCCTTTTCTGGCCCAACCTAATATGTAGAGGTAGTCCCTGCTTGCTGTCCATCACTCATTCCTAGGGTCTCTGTATGTGGTCCTTCAGGCCCTCTTGGCCTCCTTAGGCTGTGGAGACATTGCTGTTTGCCATCTTTAAAACCAAAACAGCACAAATCAGCCACCAAGCCTGAAATTTCCTGGGTTCCTCAAAAGCCCTGTGAGGTGGTTCCTGTGCCCATTTCCCAGATGAGAAGACTGAGGCCCAGAGTGTGGACCACATGTGACCAAGGTCACACAGCCAGTGAGGGAGGTGCCATCTTTTAAATCAGGGCATCTGTTTGTTCCTGGAAACTGAACCTTTGGGTCAAGCCCTCTCCCCACTGGCCTGTGTTTTATGGGTGTGCGGAAACTCAAAGGACCTAATGCAGCATCAGTCAGGGTTAAACATGCATGTTTAGTGCTTGAAAATTTGGCCTGAGGATCTTTGTAGGGCCCCTTGCTGCTCTGAGGTGAGTGCTATTGGCCTTCATTGGTAATGCCTTGCCTCCTTCTAGTTGAGAAACTGCATGAGTCTTACTGTGAGCTCTATAGTTGCCCTCCTGTTCAAACCCAGAGTGAACTTCAAACCTCCCCGCTTCTGGCTGAGCACCTAGGAAGGGTAGCCTGGCCCAGTGTGGCGAGAGACGGCCTGTACCAGCCATGGGGTGATATCTCTGTCCCTGGGGGCATAGTTGAGCTCAGAGCCAGGGGTCAGTTGTCATGGAGGGAATCTGAGGGACATGGGGAGGGAGTGACATTGTCCTCAGCCAGGGCTGCCTGCAGTGCCTCATCCATAGGTCTGTGAGTGCCTAAGGCAGTGGAGGGCCCTCTTTGAGGACCCTGCTCTGCCGTGGAGGGCAAGTGGCCTGTTCCTGGGGAACAGAGCAGATGGGGCCCTGTGGCTGTGCTGCTTGTGGGGGTGGTCTCCATCGACTGGGATTCTTAAGACATTTGGGGGTGTCAGGAGGTGTAGCCGGCTCCATTCCCGGGGAGAAGTTCTAGGGCAGAGACTTACGTGCTCTTTTCATTCGCCCCGGGGCCCTGTCCTGAGGCTGCACCTGTCCTGCCTGACCCCTCACACTCTGTACCTGGTTCATCTACCGCGATCATCCATGGCTGCCCTTGGAGGCTCCTGCTGTGTGTGTGTGAGTGTGAGGAGGAGGGGATGGCAGGGGAGAGGGTCATGTACACACACAGGCATACACACGGAGGAAGACAACCAGAGAGGGCACAGGCAGGGACAGCAGACCCCTGCCTCCAGTGCCAAAGTTGAGACAGGATTCCAGTTGTAGCTCATTTCTTACCAGGTGTGGACACACATTTTAACCTCTCAGGGACTTGATTTTCTCCTTCCTAAAATGGGGACAATAATTGTATCAGCCGCTGCTGTGTAACAAACCAGCCTCAGATTTAGTGGCTTGAAATATGCACCGTTTCCTGTCTTCCATGAGTGTAGAAGTCAGCTGAGCATTTCTGTTGATTATGTTCTCAGCTGGACAGTCGGCTGGTCGCCCCAGCTTAGCCTTGGCTGGGATGGCACTCCTGTACCCTGTGTTGTCTCTCTGCTTCCAGCAGGCCAGGCCTGGTGTGTTCTCTGACCAGGAGCAGAAGAACAAGAGAGGAAGCAGAAATGCAAACGTGCATTTTTCAAGCCTCTGCTTTCATTAAGTTTGCAAGCGTTTCATTGGCCAGAGCAAGGGCGTGGCTGGTTATGGGAGGCAGGAAAAATTGGGGTCCTTAATACATCATTGCACCCTGATGGTGACAGTAATGACATGGACAGTCTTAGGCATTTCCTTCACCAGGAACTGGGCTGAGAGCTGCATGTGTGCCACCACATTTGATCTTCACAAGGACTCTGAGTTTAACTCCATCTACAGATGAGCACCTGGGGCAAAGGTGGCTTATGTGACTCACCCAGAGACACATGGCTGGAGAGTGGCAGAGCCAGGCTATAGACCCAGGCCATGCCCATGAGAGGGGAGACGCACGGTGGCTGGCTCTGCACGTAGCCTTTTGCAGCTGTTGCTGCCTCCGGTCACATACACTTGATGCCATATGTGGGTCCAGGACCCTCCTGCCCTCTGTGTGCTGCCCATACGCCCTCCTGTCCACTCCTTTCTTCCAGGGGGTACATTTAGCTTGCTTCTGATGTATCATCTTTATGAACTTGCCCTCTGGGCATGGCGGTGTCCTCTCCTGGCGGGATACAATACTCAAACATTCTTGGACATCTGCAGGAGGGGAGGGGGCTGTAGGGCATACACATCTTCCTTCCTTGACAGTTGTTGCCTTGCTGCTCTGCAGAGCATGTGTACCCAACTCTGGGTCCCCGGCTGTCATGAGCTTTCCTATCCTTCCCTCACTCTCACGGGCTCTGGCAGCATCTGGCCCTATTTCTCTGCCAGGCAGTGGGGCAGCATGGTGTCTTAGCATGGTTTGGATGCTGAGAAGTTGAGCAGCTTTCCGTGTCGAGACCACTGCTGCACTCAGACACCTTGGACGCTCTGGGCAGCACTCCCCAGTGTCCTGCAGAGGAGCTGTGGCAGCCGTGGTGGGGCATCATGGCACCCACAGCTGCGCCCAGAGGGTTACAGCCCGTTCCCAGCTGGGGCTGCGGGCCGGGTCCCTGTGTCCTGTTTCATGCCTGCCGGCGGCTGCTCCCCACCCCAGCGCACAGCTCCCTGGAGCCAGGGCCTGGGGCACTGGGGCCAAGGTTGCCCAGGACTGCAGTGTGGCACCCGGCTTGGCTCTGAAGTGCTTTCCTCTCTCTTCCTCTGCAGCCATTGTACAACCAGCCCTCTGACACCAGGCAGTATCATGAGAACATCAAAATGTAAGTACTCATGGGCAGCTGTGCAGACGCATGGTGGGCGTGGGGACAGGCTGTTTGGCCTCAGATCTGGGTTGGGAGGTGGATTCTCAGTTCCCAAAAGGTTGTCTCCCAGGCAGGGCCAGGTGCCAGAGGAAGGGCCAGGAAGGGGCAGTTTGGGCAGGAATTCTGGACTGGGTAGTGCTGAGATCATGGTCAGAGGGGGTTTGGGGCAGGGAGGGGAAGAGGAGTGGCCCCATGAAACTTGGGGACACAGACCTTCAGTTGGGGAGGGCAGGCGAGGATGCTGCATGCACAGCCCTGGAGACACAGAGATGGAGGGCTGCAAAGCCTCATCCCACTTGAACAGGTAGAAGCTGTTCTTGGTGGAAAGTGAGCTCAAGACGATTGGGTGGGGTGGCCCTGGGACAAGTGGGGCCCTGTGGTTTGGGCTCTGATGTAATAAGCATATTTGGGAATGCTCTACGGTCTGCTCAGGGGGTCCTTCTGTGGCATATGGCTCAGTATGGAGCAGCTGTGAGCACTAATCCAGACCCGGAGGTTAGAGGTGGCCAATACGGAATACCCCAATGATGGGGCCTTTTCCTGGATGGATGCTAGGAGTGAAGAAATATCAATTAAGTGCCATGTGTAGTTGGTGTGGGCTGAGCTGGCATAATGGGGCAACAGAATTGTGTTGGAGGCTGGTGGCTTCATGTCTTCAAGCTGGGAGGAAAGCACTGTAGATGTGGCTGCGGGAAGAAGGTAGGCTTTGGGGGGGTGGGATGCGTTAATGGGAGCATAGCCTTGTTGGCTGAAGAGAGAATATTGTTATCCAGGGAGCCCAAAAAGTAAAAGGGGCTGAGACCTTGGCCCTTGAGGAACACGTGGTTGTGGGCACTCAAGGTGTTAGGTTGGAGGTAGACTCTTTGGGATGTGTTTGAATTGTTCAGGGTTCATCATTGTGGGAGGGTGCAGTGCAGGCGTTTTTGTGTGACCTCAGAGCATAGTACTTAGCTTGTCCAGTGGGCAGTCCAGCCTGGTCTGACTGTCCAAGCGTGTTCATTGCGATAGTGAGCTCCCCATCCCTGGAGGCATCCAAACTTCCCAATAGTTTTTAAATATTTATTGGTGTTGGTCTAGTTGACAGAGAAGTCTCTTCTTTTGTGGCTTCTGGACTCTTATGACTGGACCAAGCTCTGGTGACCAAAATGGGCAACCCCTAGCAGCTCCCAGTGACTGATGGAGCAGCCTGGAAAACCTCTTGTTGCCAGTGAGGTCGTTGGTCCATTTGGGCTCAGGAACACCTGCTGAGGATGCCTCACCTGTACCACTGGCAGGTCCCCCCTCACTCAGCCCATGGCTGCAGAGTGGCCTGCTCAGGAGGCACTGATACAGTGCTAGGATTTCTGTGTCTGATATGGCCTGTGATTTTGTGTGGCCTTGTGGATGTATTCGCAGCCCGGGTACCCAGCCCTCCTTGCCTCCACAGGCCACCTGAATCCCTTCTAGACTCCTTGCGATCTGCCTTCCCTGGGGCCACTGCTAGGGGTGAGGGGGCCTTAGATGAGGGTACGTAAGGGCAGAGGGACTTTTAGGGCTATGACAGCTGGTTTGGGGCTCCGCGGTGGGTGTTTTCATCTGAGCAGGGCTGCTGGAAGCACTCATTCATTCATTCATTCATTCATTCGCTTAGCACACATTTGTAGAACACCTACTGTGTGCCAGGCCCTCTTCTACGACCTGGGGATTCAGCTCCGAACAGAACAAAGGCCTATGCTTTCCTCAAGCTTTATCTAGCAGTGGAGACAGAAAGTGAGTTAAACAAATAAGAAGATACCTGCAGACGAAAAGTACTGTGCTCACATAACCATCTTAAGCTCTTTATGTTTTGATACATCTAGTTGTGTTTTCCCTTTTGACATAGCAGTTTTTGTAGTAATGTCATCATACTGAAATCTTACACGAATTGTTCGCTAAAAAATGAGTAATATTTGAAGCAGAGTAACATGGATGATTTCTGTTTATAAAAACTGCCATAGGGATCCCTGGGTGGCGCAGCGGTTTGGCGCCTGCCTTTGGCCCAGGGCGCGATCCTGGAGACCCGGGATCGAATCCCACGTCGGGCTCCCGGTGCATGGAGCCTGGTTCTCCCTCTGCCTGTGTCTCTGCCTCTCTCTCTCTATCTGTGTGTGACTATCATAAATAAAAAAAAATTAAAAAAAAAACTGCCATAAAATCCAAACAAGAAAGGAAAAAGGTATTCATAGTAATATTTTAGCAGATAAGGTATTGCCACGTCTCTGGTAAAGCAGAAGAAAGCTATAAACTTGCTGAAGCCAGTGCCCTATTTTTGCACTCCCTAGTCCTCATCAGAGAACAGTTCTGGTCTCCTGGAGTACGTTCTGGCTAACTAGGTGACTGCCTGGTGACATGTGTTCCAAACCCAAATCACAGATGGACATGTTTCAGTTTAAAATATAGAGATGAATAATTTTAAGATATCTTACATAAGTGGTGAATTTTATGTTAGAAGAATATATCTGTAAGCAAATTATTTGAACCGATTTATTGTTAGAATTTTGATTTTGTTCCCAGTTTTCCACAAAAATCCTAATGATCTCTGTATTTTTAATTTCAATGTGATCATCAGCAAATTAGCGCATTCACTTTAAAGAATGCTATGCAGGGGGGCCTGGGTGGCTTAGTCAGTTAAGCATCCAACTCTTCATTTCGGCTCAGGTCATGCATGATCTTGGGGTCATGAGATCAAGCCCCACTTTGGGCTTCATGCTGGGTATGCCTGCTTAAGATTCTCTCTCTTCCTCTGCCCCTCTTTCCCTCTCTCTCAGAAAAAAAAAAAAAAAAAGAATGCTATGCAGATGGCAGATATGGTAGGTAGGTGACTTTAGCCAGAGGATCAGGGTTGGACCTGACAACAAAGGGGACACTTGGGGGCTGAGTGGCAGCTGGCCATGTGACCTCCCTGGCAAGTGGAACAAGCAGTGCAAAGACCTTGACACTGGACTGAACTGGTGAGATCCCAGAGAAGGCCAGCGTGGCCTGTGGGGTAGGTGAGGGAAAGACGGTGCCAGGCAGATCACCCAGGACTGATGAGGAGTTCAGGTCATATTATTTATGTGTGAAGGGAGGCCAGAGATGATATTTATGCTGGGAAGTGATGTATTGGGTTTTTACTTTCAAAGCTCACTCTGGTGGCTCTGGAGAGAAAGGACTGGTTGTTGGGAGGCCTTGGTGGAGATAGCCATGGCCATCCAGGCAAGCAGTGGCAGGCCCAGGTGCTGTGGGAGCTGCCAGGGGTGTGGTGTGGAGGGGCAGGGACAGAGAAGTCTTGTGGCTGCCGAGGTCAGGGGCCTGGACAGATGTGAGTACAGCGAAATCTGAGATGAAGCTGATGAAACCCAAGGGCCGGTTGAGGGCCATGAGCATCTGGCTAGCCACTGACTCTCAGTGCCTCGGTTTCCCCATCTGTGAGGTAGGAATAAGAGTAGCTCCTGCCTCCTAGGGTTGCTGAGGATTCAGTGAGTTACTGTCCCTGAGGTACTGAGCTCAGTGTCAGGCACGTGAAAAGCATCTTGTGATCTTTCTTCTTGCTGTTTTATCCATGTATTCCTGTCCTTTGTTCATCCAACCAGTATTTATTGAGCGCTCACTGTGTGCTCGGCACTGTCCTGGGCCCTGGGGATGCAGGAGTGGATGGGTCTGGCATTCTGTGACCTGGTGACAGCTTGATAAGGACAGTGAGAGCCCATTCCATCTCCCTGCCCCCACTGCTGTCATTGGGCCAGGTGGGAGGTTACCCCTTCCCCAAGGACCTTGCTCTGTCACTTTAATTTCCCTGTGTGTGCGCGCTGGGGCTGCACAGTTAAAGTTAATTTCACGCTTGACTTCCTGCCGCGCTGGCAATTTCAGACGTGTCCAAGTCACCTGTGCCCACCTCTGCTGCGCTCCCTCTGCCACCTGCATCATGGGGAGGTGTGGGGGTGTCTGCCGTGGATGCTCAGCCCTTCTCAGGCTCTGGGAAGCAAGGGAAGAGGCCAGGGCAGCCCCTGGGAGAAGTAATTGGGCACGCCACTGCAGGACCTGCCAGGATTGCTGTTCAGGGAGCTCAGTGCCTTCTCGGAGGACCCCTGTGATTCTCCAAAGGGGTCTGAGGTTGGTGCCTGGGGGACAGTTACTGATATGTGTGCTCTGCTGTGTGCTGTGCCTTTCCTTGCTACGCCCTCCTCTGGTGGTAGAGCCCAGGCACTGGCCCTGTTCCTCTTGCCTTCCTGGGGCCTGGAGGCCTGTGGGTTCCCGGTGTTCTCTTCCCCGTTTTTCTTGTCTTGATGCCCCATTTCATCCCTCTTCCTGCCTCATTTGGGGGTTGGCTGATTGGAGCCCGCAGCCCTAGAGCTGTGCAGGTGGAAAGGGCACCTGGGACAACAGGTTTTTGTGGTCTTGCTCTGGAGGTTCAGAGATGTTAAGTAATTTCCCTAGGGTCATAGAGCCAAATTCCTAGACCAACCAGGTCTGCACACCCACCCTGTTACCTCTCCTGGGTCTCCGGTCTGGCCTCTGCCCCTTGCTAGTCCAGTGGCCTTGGGCAAGTCACCTTGCTTGTCCGTATGTAGGTTTCAGACCATCAGTTACTCCATCAGATGGATTCTTCTCAAGGTGTTCAGAGCCCCGCTCAGGCAGGCTTCCTCTGGAGCCAGCTGCTGGGGGTCTGGCTCTCCCTGAATGCCCCTCCTCACCCCCTCTAAATCCATCATCACCCTCACTCCCCTAGAACTCAATGCTGTCATTTTCCTCTGCCCGTTCTATTGCTCTGCTTCTCCCAAGCCTCAGTGCAAGCCTCTCTTCTTCCAGGAAGCCTCCCTGATTGCCCTAAGCTGTCCTATTTTATAACCCTGTGGTCCCAGGCCTGGCCAGACTCTCCTCAGACTTGCAGAGTTTCCAGCCTCTTATTGCTCCCTTCTAGGTTTTGTATCTCCTTCTGGGCCCAGCAGCAGTTGATGAGGCCTATGTTTCCTTACAGATTGTGCTTTTATAAACTCTGACTTCTCCAGGAAATGATAGCTATCCTTTGCATCCCTGTAAATGCCTCCACTGGCAAACTCATCATGTTGCTGGTTTGTCAGCCTTTCTAGAGCCCTCTTATTATGACTGTGTTGCCTATTTTTGCCAGAAAAAAATCATAGTAGAAAAGATTTGTCTGTAGGAAGCTATTTGCATCTCCAATACCAAAACATTCCTTGGGACAAAATAAACACTCCAAAAACGTTTGCCAGAAGAATGTTGAACAAGTGGACACCCTAAGCCAGATGTCTAGGGGATTGCGACCAGAGGCATGTCCATGGGGCTGAGAGGGAAAGGTAGAGTGGGGAGGGCTGGCAGGAGGCAGTAGGGAGTGGCAGGGACTGTGGTGAATGGTGAGCTCATCATCCTTGTAAAGGGGTGGTCAAGCCTCAGTCCCCAGCCTGTGGCCATGAGGGGGTGTAGCAGACTGCCTGGTCTTATAAAAGAAGCTTTAAGTTCAGCTTTTTACACAACAGCTTCTGGTTTTCAATACTGGCAACGAATTCAGATTTTTTAGAAAGCATGGCAGTCCAAACAATGCTTTCATGGACTGGCTCTGCTTGGTGGACTGTGCCCATTTGCAACCTGCGGACTTGACATTTGTCCTCTTTGGCAGTAAGTGGATGCCTCTGGGTGCCAGGCACAGTGCTTGCTTTGGAAGGAAATTCGGATCCACTGGGGAGAACTGCCCTGCAGTAGCTGTGGGGAACAGAGGTGGCTACAGGAGTTACCTCTGCCCTGTGAGACTTTGTACTCACTGAGTCCCTCCCAGGGTGCAGCCAGGGCACCGCAGCTGGTTGAAGACTGGCCTTGGCTGCATCTGCTTCCTCAGGCAGCTGGGTCAAGTTACCCCAAACCGAGCAGCTGGAAACCACAGCAGCTTATTCTTTCCCAGCTCTAGAAGCCACCAGTTGGGAATGAAGCGGTGATGGGACCCTGGTCTCTCCTGGGGAGCCTTCCGTGCCTTTCCCAGCTTCTGGAGTTTGCTGGCTCCCTGAGCATCCCTTGGCTTATAGACACTCCACTATCTCCTCTCTGTCTTCTCATGTCATCCTGCCTTTATGTGTGTCCTCCTCCAAGTCCACACTTCGCCTTTTTATAAGGACGCCATTCATAAGGGATGAGGGTCACCATCCTGCCTGCATGCTAACTTGATGACCTCTGTAAAGACCCGGTTTCCAGATCAGGTCGAATTCTGAGGTACAGGGGGTTGGGACTCCCAATGTCACTGAGTGTGGAGAGACCCATTTCAACTTGTAACATACACCATGCCCCCTGCAAGGTCTACCGTAAATTGTATTTGGTCGTACTGTGGCATTTCAATATAGATCATGACCCTGTTTGGTTTCTTTTTAAGCATCTATTTTAAAATAGCTAGATTTAGGGGCTCCTGGGTGCCTCAGTCGGTTAAGCATCTAACTCTTGATTTCCGCTCAGGTCATGGTCGCAGGGTCATGAGATTGAGCCCCCATGTCTGGCTCCACACTCCCCGGCAAGTCTGCTTGAGATTCTCTCCCTCTCCCTCTGCTGCTCCCTCTTTCTCTCTAAATAAATATATAAAATCTTAAAAATAAAAAGCTAGATTTACAGAAGAGTGGCAAAGATAGTATAAAGAATTTCCCATATATCCTCCGTCCAGCATCTCCTAATATGAACATCTTCTGTTAAGTGAGGCTGCATTTGTCAGAACTGATAATGTGGCAGTGGGACAGTACTCAGTGCCAACCCAGAGACTTTCTTTGGATTTTTCCGGTCCGGGATCTGATTGCAGATTCCTACTTTGCACTCTGTCCTTGTGTCTCCTTGGTCCACAGGTGACAGTTTTTCCATCTTCCCCTGACTTTCCTGACCCTTTTGAAGAGCTGTTTTCAGGGCTTGGGCAGAATGTCTCTTGATTTGGGTTTGCCTGGTGCTTTCTCATGATGGGGCAGGGCATAGATTTGGGGGGAGAGCCCCACAGAGCTGAGGAGCCACCCTTCCCATCAGGACTCGTCAGAGGTGCCATCACCTCCGTGCATGGCTATCTTGCTCTCCTGTGTTCAGTGCTTTAGAAGCAAGTAAGGATCCAGGCTGCCATCATGGGGTGGAGGGCTCCCTTCCACCTCCTGCAGGGGGAGCATCATAGGATTTGTGGCCGTAAGTGAAAACTGCTCAATGACTAGCAACTATTTGGGAGAAGAGACTTTGAAGCTATGCAAATTCTGGTTTTTCCTTAAAGCGTGGCCAGTTGTACCATTCACACGTGGATCTTCTGGCGGCAGGTGGGCTGAAGTGTTCTAGTGGTGACTTTCCATCTCCCGCCTTCCTTGTAAGCAGATTCTGTAAGAAACATTTGCTCCTTCTTCCTTATTTATTTATTCAGTTTTTTATTTATATCAGCACGCGGACTCATGGATATTTATTTTGTTCTTTGGGTTTGGGTCCAGCGCTTGGGTTACTTATTTTGGTATTTTGGTGCTTATATTTTCCCAGCTTCAGCAGTCCGAAGCTCAGGCTGGGTCTTTGTCCCTCTGATCTTTTAATTTTGTCATCTTCTTTTTAGCACTTCTTTACTTAAAGATGTTCTGGGCTCTTCTTGTGTATGCCTGTCCCAGCTTTGGAGAGAAATGGCTTATTGTTTTGGAGAATCCTGTGAAGAAGCAAGACCTCGGTGCTCCCCGGCTCCCTGCCCTGGGCTGTCCTTGCTTCTCGGCCTTCTCAGCTGCCCATCTTTTTAAAAGCCCTTCACCCTGCCCAAACCAAGACCTCATACAGCCAGCCCTGCCAGCCTCACTGTCTCTCGCCCCTCCCCAGTTCTCTCCAACCATATGGCCTTTCTTGTTCCCACCCCAGGCCTCTGTACTTAGAATCCTCTGCCTGAGGTGCCCTTCCCTCCGCATCGTTCCACAGCTAGGTGCTTCTGGTGATCCAAATCTCAGCCCCCAGCCCTCTTACCACTGCACCTAAAGTAGCTACATTCTCCCATCCCACCTACTCACTACCCCCACTCCCATGTTTGAGTTTCTGAATCCACCATGATGTGGACTGTCCTGCTTACTGTCCATGTGACCTCTCTGAGTGTCACCTCCGTGAGGGCTGGGGATTTTACACTACTCAAAGCTATGTCCCAAGTGCCTAGAAGAGTGCTGGCACGTAGTAGGTACTCCATAAACATCTGTTGAATGACTGAGGATGTGAAAACATGATGTTATTGAATTCGTTTTTCAGATGAGGGTATTGAGGTTGGAGGCCCTCTAAGGTTGCTGAAATACCTCGTCACAGAACGAAGTGTTCTGGTTTCAGCCTTTGTGACTGAGGATCCTGGTGCCCACCCTTTTAGGGACAGCACAGGGGAGGCTGATGACAGTGGGAGGGCCCTGGCTAACATGAGGCCAGAATGACCCCGGGAGGCAGGGTAACCCGTCCCCCTCCACCTCCCAGGACCCTCTTAGAAGTGGCATGGTATTTCCTTCTCAGGAGGTGGAGAGTAAACAGGGCTCTGAACCCTGCTAGGGTCCATGGGGAGTTCCAGAGAGGTGATGCTGCCCACACATTCACTGTGCCTTTCCCTCCGAATTAAGAGGGGGCATGTAGGCTTGTTAGCATCCCTGGACTTGAGACCAGGTAATGAAGATGCTGACTTCTGTTGAAGATCACTGGGGGTTGGGGAGAGTACTTGTTTGGCCTGGGACTTTAGTGTGGGGGTAGACCCTGAGGACAGCTGGGCCTGACAGTGGGGCCTTCTGAAGTGGTGGCTTCTGGCTGCAGGGGCCTGGAGGCAGAGAGGGACTCTGTATGAGGTGCCTGTGTCTGATTGTTTCCAGCCCTTTAGCCCCCTCGTGAGGCATGTGTTGGGGGAGCTTTGTCCCATCAGGGCCTGGGGACTCCTACCATCTTGGTCTTTTTTCTGAGGTTGGGGTTCTGGGTGGCTCCTGGAACCTCCTAGAGGCTGGATGGGAAATGGCATGTAAGCTCTTTGTGGGGTTTGGACACTACTGAGAAGATGAAGTTGGAGTACCCCTCCTCAGAGAAGCTGTCACAGCTGTACCCCTGGATCGCGGTGAGCAAGGTCTGGGTCTCCCCAGGCTACTTACTAAGGCCTGTCTGACGACACAGCCCCACCCAGGTGTTGGTAGCACTCACTTGTGTGGGGAGGCCATGGAGAGGGGCTGAGGGGAAGAGGGCTTACCGAGGGGTCCTGCCTCACGGGCTGGAGCATGGGTAGCCCATGCTGCCCTACTTATGTGACATCGACTGCCACAGGCTAAGGGTGCCCCAGAGGCCAGAATGTGCTGCTTAGTTGGAGGCAGACTGGGAGACACTCGTCTCTGTGTGGCCACAGACCTCAGGGTCTTGATCTCTCTGGCCCATGTTCCTGGTCTGAGCCTGTGGATGTTTCTCTGTGGCTAGTTTTCTAGAAGGGATCCTGGGTGTGCATGGCAGGGGATGGCAGCTCCAGGAGGGCAGGAAGCCTCAACACCCCACCCTCTGGGAACCCTTCTTCTGCACACTGTGCTCAGTCTGAAATGTGGGAGAGCTCGCTGGGAGGGAGAGGATGCACATTGGCATTTCATGGTTCCCTTGTGGGGCTGTGGGCTGCCTTTTAGGTCAGTAAAGGGGCAAACTTAGGGCTTGCTGTCAGGAAACAGCTCAGTGAAGGATAAGATATGTGAAACCCTGTATGACTGACCTGCCCCATTTGCTGTTTTTCTCTTGCTTAGAAACCAGGCGATGCGGAAAAAGTTAATCTTGTACTTCAAGAGGAGGAACCACGCTCGGAAACAATGGGTAAGCCACCGCTGGAGTCTCCCTGGTCGCTCCCCTGGGCCAGGCTTCCTGGACAGTCAGGTAGTCCAGGCACTTGAGGCTGTGCCCGTGGGGCCTCCTGGCCTGCAGCTGTCTCTCTGCATGTCCAGGCTATGAAGAAAGGCCAGGGATAGCGGGGCAGATGGGAAGCGTGGCAGCTGCTTTGATGAAGCCAGGGCTTGGGGCGCAGCTACCCGAGGAGGCCTGGGGCCCGGAATTCTGCTGCTCCTTTTCCAGCCTGGAAGGGGAGAAAGCAGTATGTTGGCCTGGAAAATTGGTTGCTGTCAGAGGACCTGTGGGCTTTCCAGGCAGGAAGAGAGAAGTTTGTTGGAAGAGTTGGGGGTGGGGTAGGCCATGTGTTGGTGGAGGTGACTGCAAGGCACTCCCTTAGAGATGAGGTTTTCCTGGCTCAGGAAAATGAGGGTGTTCAGAAGAAGTGAGGCTCCCTTGCTTACTCCGGTGGGCAGTGGCTACATCACTATAGCCAGGGGTGCGACTCCTGCATCAGCCACATGCTCTGGCCTCTCATCTGGGACGGGGGCCCAAGGCGAAGAGAGTGTGCATGAGGGAACACAGGCAGTTGTGGTTCAGGGGGGCTGTTTACATCACTGATTCACTGTCGGGGGTTACATTCCCCTCCTGCGATGGAGGGGAAGTCACTTGTTATTACTCTTCGCTGTGAGGGAAGAGCTGGCTCAGATGAGCTTACCCAGTACAGGAATTTGTGGCTGAAAGAGTCCTTTGGGTGGAGTTCAGGAGTCATTCGATCCTGTTTTACCTTCATTTCTGTGCAGTTTTTCTTCAACTCTGTATGTTAGCACATTGACAGATGGGTTTCTCTGTGGGACCTGAATTCCTGCAGCAGATCTGAGTCGTCTAGAGCCAGAGGAAGTGCTGTCCTTCCTCAGACCATCTCACCAAAGCTCGAATTGGACCACTTGAGGGCATGATTCCTCTAAACCAGTTTCTAAACTGACCGTGTTCTGGCCCCAGACCCCAGTTGGGTCCTGGAAGAGAGGAGACGCTTCTGGAACAGATGGCAGGTGGCTGGGAAGCTGGCAGGTGGTCCTCTGGACCCCAGAGTTCCATGGAGTGAGAAGTGGTGGGCATCTCGCCTTTCCTTTCTCAGTTTCCTCAGATCCCCAGATTGACCACATGGAGAACAGAGGTGGCATGGATGGATTTCTTGAAAGTGGGTGTTTCATCTTACTCATTGAGTTAAATATACAGCCAGGACCTGCCACAAGCCTGGTACAGTGGCTGAGCAGAGGAGGCACAGTGAGAAGTGCTGTGTGGAGGCCTGGAGTGGGAACAGCCTGCATGTCCCGCGTGGTAGCCTCAGTACTGAAGTGGGAATGACAGGAAGGACCAGCTGTGTGGAAATCTGGAGCATCAGGCAGAGGGCACAGCAAGTGCAAAGGCCCTGAGGTTGGAGCCAGCTTGGGTAGGATGGGACAGAATGCAGCAGGCAAGTCTGTAGTGCACTGTGTGACTTGGGGGTCGGCAGTTGATGTGAATGACATGGGAGCCAGATTGCCTTCAGCAGGATGAACCATTCAGATTTTATTCTAAATGCAGTGGGACCCTTAATTTATTCTTCTAAGTGCATTCTTGATAAACAATATGAAGTCTTTATTGTGAGAATTTCAAACAGGAAATTGGAGAAAATACAGTGAACACCTGTATTCCCACCGAGTGGAGTCAGTCATGGGGTCATGGCTAATGCTTCTTTGCTGTGTGTGCACATGTGCATGAGTGTGAATATTTTTGTCTAACAAGTAGGGAGTAGGTGCAGGCACCTGGGCCTCTCTCCCTAACTAACGCCTCTGTACCCATCTCCTGAGAGGATGGGAAGTTGTGTTCTCACCGCACTGAAGAACCAATAGCCATTCCCTGCCATCTTCCAGCCTCAGCCACATTTCTGTCCACTGTTGCCCTCTCTGGGGTGGGGTTCATTTTAGGCAGGAGGAAGAAATTCTGATGTACATTTTAGAAGGATCCCTGTGGTTGCTTGGGGGTCCCTTGAGGTGGAGGGGAAAGTAGTCTTATTTGAAATTCAGGGTGGCTCTGAGGCCAGGCTGAGCCCATCCTGCAATGGCAGGGCATTCTTGTTCTTGTTCTGTAATGAACCCAAAGCCCCTGATGCATTGTCTTCATCGAGGATGGGGAGGGTCCAGATGGTCCAGATGGTCCCCCAGACCTTAGGCCTGCATGCCCTGCCCCCACTGTGAACCAACCTCCTTCAGACTTAAAGGTTCCAGGGACCACACAGGTCAGCTGCCCACACTGCCTGCACTCCGGCCTTGTGCAAAGAGCCAAGGCTTTGCCCCCAGAAGGACATTGACATAAACCTCCTCAGCTTGTCCTATCCTTCCCTGGGAGCTGAGCTCAGCCCTGGGAGGCCGGACTGGGGGGTAGGGGTGGGGGTAAGGCTCTGCTGAGAATATCGGGGCTCAGGTTCAGCCCACCCACCATGGCCTGCTGTGTGTGATCTGGGGAGTGCAGTCTCCACCCCGAGCCTTACTCTTCCTCTTCTTCTTCTTCAAAATGGAGGCACGTGCTTGCTGCAAGAGCATTTAGAGTGGTGCCTGGTGAAGGGGGCGCTTTGACAGTGATGGTGGCTGTGTGGGATGGGTAAGCCAGGAGGTGTGCCCAGCATGGAGGGTGGGTGTACCTGTTTCCTGAGGCTGCTGTAACATGACCATAAGCCAGGCTGCTGAAGATAATAGAAATATATTCTCTGGTGGTTCCAGAGACCAGAATTCCAAAGTTAAGATGTGAGCAAGACTGTGTTCCCACCAGAGGCTGTGAGGTGGATCCCTTTTGCTTCTCCCAGCCCCTGGGGGTCCCTGTGTCCCTCTGGTCTCAGCCTCTGTATCCACAGGGCCATCTCCTGGTCTCTTACATGGACACCTGATTACATGGTTCAGAGCTCACCTTAATCCAGGATGACCTCATCTCAAGTGCTTTGTCAAACAAGCTCAAGTAATCTCCAGATTCTGGGAGGTCACCCTTCAGTCCACCACAGTGGGCACTGGCTTATTTTCAACATAGTCTGCCTTTCCGCTTTCCTTGGCTTGTCCCCACCCACCTTGTCATTTATGTACATCGAGAGGCAGCTGAAGGTTTGTTCACCCCTCTTCCATCCTTCACACCTCTCAAGAGTATTCCCGGCTTCCCTTTGAGCATTGGGGCTTTTCCCGGACCTGCCCCAGCAGCCGTGGCTTGCTTCTGCAGCCTGAGCACTGGGTAGGCTGGAGGCCGGGGAGAGTCGCAGCCTGTCACCCTTATCCCTCATGAACATGCTGTGGGGGAGGCCGGGAGCCCTGGTGCTCAGGACAGTTGATGCACAGAACATTTTGAGCTTCTGTGACCCTGTCCTGCTGAGCCCTGCAGGCAGCCTACGGGTTAGGAGGTGACCACAGAGGCCAGCCCCTCTGGCCAGCTAGCTGCAGCTGCCCTTCTCTGACACCACCTTCCTTTCCCCCAGCGCTTGGCCTGGGACTGCCTTCTCCTGTGTTCAGGGAGCCCCATCACCCATTGCCTCCCTCAGTGCAGAGCTGCATCACACCGCACCTGGCAGGGCAGGCAGGAAGGTTTCAAATCTTGGTGCTATTAGACATGTGGGGCAAATCATTTAACTTTTGGCCTCAGTTTCCTTCTCTGCTCGTTGAGGATATTAACACCCATTCATTGGGTCACTGAGTGAGAGGCTGCATGCAGTGTGCCCAGGGTGCCGCCTGGCATAGAGTGGGCACTCAGAACTGTCAACTGCAGGCTGGCTAGGCAGTCCCTATGGGATGGGAAAAGAACAACCATGTGCATCTGATTTCAAAATGGATCACAAAGTTATAGTAACCAGGACAGTGTGGTTCTGGCATAAGGGCAGACCCGAGACCAGTGGGACAGCATGGAATAGCCTGAAAATAAGCCCTCACACCTGTGGCTAGGTGATTTTTCACAAACGGCTGAATCCATTCAGTGAGAAGGATGGTCTCTTTAGCAAGTGTTGTGGGGATGACGAGGTATCCACGTGCAGAGTAGAGTTGGATCCCCACCCCCCAGAACTGACGCAAACACTCAGTCAACTGAAGCCCTAAATGTGAGAGCCGAAACCATAAAATTCCTAGGGAGAAACAGCAGTGACTCTTTATGACCTTGGGTGTGGCAGTGGCTTCTCAGGTATGACACCAAAAACACCAGCAGCAAGGGGCGAGCAGGTGCTCTGGATGCCATTAGAGTAACTTTGGGCTGCTGCTGCTGGGATCCTGGCCTTTGCTCCTACACTGAGCGATGCCAGGCACAGGGCTGGGGTACCTGGACCCTGAGTCCCCTGGCACCGGGGATGGTAGTTGCAGCCTGTGTGGGTTTGAGTGAATCTGTCTGCAGGAAGGAATGTTCAGCCAGTGGCAGGGGTGAGGGCGGGGGTGGCAAGAGTGAACTCTGGCTGCCAGAAAGCAACAGGTTGGGGGTGACATGTCCTCATAAGACACAGTGACTGTGGTCATGAGCATGGTGGTCCTGCTCCTCGTCCCCTGCAGAGATTTGCTGCTGGCACCCCCTCACACTGGCTTAGCTCTGGCCCAGCATTTGGAGCGTGAGTGTGTGTGTGAGCATGAGGTGGAGATTTGCTTCCTTCCCTGGTCAGTGGGTCCACCTCATGGAAAACCCACTGAGCATTCTTGCTCCCCGGGGAAGGGCTGCCACCTCTTGCAGGGCACTGTCCCCAGGAGCTCGGTGCAGTGGACACGGGCCGTGTGTGTCTTCTCTGGTAACTGTATGATTTTCCTATGCTGATTGGGTGACCGTTTCTCCCCATCTCCCCATCTGACCTGTTTTCTCACTCTTGTTTATCAGACTGCGGCCTCTCAGGCAGGAGTGGGGTGGGGTGGGTCCCCTGCTATGATGGTGACAGGGCTGTCAGTATCCTCCCCTCCCCCAGTCCCCATGCCCGATGGGGTGCTGTCTGCACCGCAGAGCCACGAACGCTGTGGCTGTTGTCTGCTACTGGAACCACATCCTGATCTCTATCGGGTTCTTGGAGCAGCCCACATATGTATGGGACTCCTGGGAGCTGGGGTCATGTTTCATGCCCTGCCAAAGCGGCCTGACATCCCCTTGGGTATGGATGCCCTGCTGTGTTTGCTGAGGACCAAGGTCACAGGTTGCCTTACATAGGTTGAAATGCAGGATGGGGTGAGGTGTCTGATCACAAGGACGAAAGAGGGGTTTTCTGATTATGCTGAAGCATTGAGAGGGCGTTCAAGCGAGACTCCCAGACCATGCCATCTGTCTAGCACAGCTGTTTGAGACGGGGAGATTGGGGTCTTATGGGCAGCTTATTGCTCCCCACCTGCTCAAGGTCTTGGTCACCTTGGAGATGTGGAAGGCAGGCAGCTATGTTCCTGGCTGGCTGGGGGTCTTTTAGTGAGGACATAAAGTAGGTGGCACTGTGAGTAGACATAGAGAGGGACTACGTTGTCCAGGAGAAGTGGTAGAGGCTCCTCCCTGGGAGCTGCTCAGGATTTCACATAGACTCCCTAGGCCTGGGATCATGGCTGAGCCTGAGGCCAGAGAATGAGGAACTTATCAGAAAGAGGATGCTTTCTAGGGGGCGCCCCGAACCTGACAGACACCCCAGAGCCTGTGTTAACATCATTTCCTTTCATGATGGAAATGGCCTCTGTGTGTGCTGCCCACTCCAGATGAGAGTCCTTCCCACATGCAGCTATGGAGCACGGGAAATGTGTTTCGGGGAACCAGGGTCTGAATACTAAATGTTACTTAATGTGCTTTGAACTTAGTCATGTGTAGCTGGTGGCAGCTGCATCAGATGAGGCATTTCTAGGAGGCCAGGCCGGTGGACCATCTCCCAGGGTAGGAGGCAGCCAGGCCCTTAGGGAGGGATGGTAGAGGCTTCTTCCCAGGAGCTGCTTGGGAGCAGCAGCTGGGTTTTCTTGGGGCCCAGGTCTGCCCAGGTCTCTGTGTGATCATGTGTGTCCTGTGTGTGGCCGTGTGTGTCTGCATCTCAGCTTGCCCCTGTCTGCCTGTGTGTGATGGTGTGTGCCCATGTGCATGCAGAGCGGGCTGGGAGCACAGAGGGGAGTGGGGCTGGCGTCCAGACAGAGGATGAACCGCTGATCAGTGCTCCCCATGCTGTACTCACCCAGGAACAAAAGTTCTGCCAGCGCTATGACCAGCTCATGGAAGCCTGGGAGAAGAAGGTGGAGCGCATTGAGAACAACCCCCGGCGACGCGCCAAGGAGAGCAAGGTGCGCGAATACTACGAGAAGCAGTTCCCTGAGATCCGCAAGCAGCGCGAGCTGCAGGAACGCATGCAGAGGTGAGCCAGGGGCTGGAGCCTGACCCTCCTCCTTCCTTGCTTCCTCCCGCATCCCACCTTGCCCACCACTTCCATTCCTCCTAGATGCCTCAAGGACCTGGGTCAGCAGAAGAGCCCTGGCTGCTGTGAAACAGCCCAGCAGGGTCTCAAACTGGTGGCCCAGGGACTGTATGAGGCTCTTGGATGTGCCATGCAGCACCTGCTTGGCTTTAGTGCTTATTTGAAACTCAAACATGTTTTGGTGGAGCAAGGTCCCCTTCTCATGTGCCATGGGCTGGCACCTGCCAGCCTTGTTCATTTATGTGGCCTGTATGGCCCCTGAAGGGAGTGGAGTTTGAGATCCCGGGTGTAGATCAGAGGCAAGAGGACTGCCTGCCCCTCACTTGGAAGCTGGATCAGGATGCTGGTCTCTGGGCTTATGTGGGGGTCATGAGGATAGTGTGAGATCCTGCATAGGAGTGCTCATTGCCCAGTAGGGGTGCTTGGTGATGTGTAGCTGTGCTTCTGTTGTTCCACAGATAGGGTGATGGGCAGTGAGCTTTGATGATGCCGCTTCCATCCTTTCCTGGACACTCACAGGCCACATCTCACTGAATGCCCCCTCCCAGCCCTGGGAGCCAGGGGCCACTCTATCCCCCTGTTACAGGGGAGGAGACTGAGGCACAAGTCCTGGAGCAGTGGGGCTGGGCTTTCGGGGGCATCTTAGGAGAGAAGATGGGACTGGGTCCCTGTGGCTTTCCTGGGTCAGGGTTGGGGCTCCATGCCCTCTCCTAGACTTCTCAGCCTGGGGTGGTCCCTGTGGGTAGGAGAGGCCTGGTCCCTTTGTACCTCCCTCCTTCCCACCTACACTCTGCCTCTGGTGAAGTTCTGGGCTTGGTCTATGCTGTGGTGCCTGCTGGAGTCCCGACTGCCAAGGGGCCGGTCTTGAGTATGTCCCTTTGGTCTCCAGCAGGGTGGGCCAGCGGGGCAGCGGGCTCTCCATGTCGGCTGCCCGCAGTGAGCACGAGGTGTCTGAGATCATCGATGGCCTCTCAGAGCAGGAGGTAAGAGCACAGCCTTGACTCTGGCCTTGACTTCATTCCCTTCCATCCCCCATCCCTGGGAGCTTCCTGACAGGAAGCAGAATTCACCCTGATGGTAGAAATCAAGGGGCTTGTCCCTGAAGTGTGGGCAGAATCAGTGCAGGGTATTGTGGCATGGGGGCGGTGGCCATCACCTTTCTCCAAGCCTAAAGGACAAATGGAGAAGGGGTGTTGCCATGCTACAGCCATCTGGCAGGACATGGCCAGGGCGGGTCACAGCATGATGCCACAGTGGGGAGGAAGCTGGGGGATTATTACCCCTGCCTCTTGTATCTCCTGTCTTGCAGTACCTCCCATTGGCTGAGCCCAACCAGAAGCCAGAGGTAGGGGTGCCTGAGAACTGTGCTTTCTAGGTCAGCCTCTCAGCACCCAGACTGGGGGCAGATGCGATAGTTCCCAGCACACCCCACTGGCGACCTTCTGGCAGGACTCCGGCCCTGCCAGCATGAGCACACTCTCTTTGTTCTCTTGGACCCCCTGGGCATGCCTGGACAACCAGAGCTCAGCCTTGGTGACCCTGGCCATGGTCTTGGTTCCCAGAGATGATCAGTATGCAGAGGAGGCATTTGCCTAGGGAAGTGTTGGTGCCAGCCTGGCCCCTCCTGAGTCTTACAGGTCAAGATTCTAATGTGCCAGTCCTCCCACCTGCTTGTGCCCAACCCCACAGTAGATGTGAGAGAGCCTTGTGAAAGGAGGGAGCACGTGCTTCTTCCCCAGGGACTCTGATCCGGTAGTGCAGCAGCCCCTAGCAACCCAAGGTCATTTAAGTCAAAGTTAACTAAAGTGATAGAAAACTAAAACTTTGGTTCCATGGCATACCAGGCACATGTTCTGTGCTCAGGACCCATGTGTAGTTCATGGCTGCCACACTGGACAGGGCAGGCAGTGAATACCTGCATTGCCGCAGCACTGCTCTAGGCTGCTGATTCTCACACAGGACAGACTGTTGAGTCCTAGGGAAGGGGTGCCCTGTTCAGTTTTCCAGGCCCTGCCCCCAGAGGTTCTGATGTAGCCAATCTGGAGTGGAGCCCAGGACTCTGCATTTTTTACCAAGTTACCCACATGAATCTGATGCAGGTGATTCAGACTGTCTGGCCATGAAAAGAGATCTTCTTTTTAAAACTTCACATGGTATGTCCCTTTTCTGAATGCCATTCGGTCCAGAGAAAGCAGAACTCAGCCCTTGGCCACAATCATACCTGCGGGTTGGCTCCAGCTCCTGTCGCGCCGATGCTATGGCTGCATGCACATCCCACAGGGGTGTGGACACGAGTTCAGTTTGCCTTGGAAGCAAGAGGGGGGTGGGTGGCCCTCTCCCAGTGTTTCCTGCCTGATGGCCAAGGGTGAGTAGCATCTCAGCCGACCATGTCCTCTGTCCCCAGCCCCCATGCCAGAGGCCTACTTCCCTGGGTCCTGGCCACATGAGAATGTAGCCACTGGCCTCCTGAGGATGTTGAAGGGATGGCATTGGGGTGGGGTGGTGGGAAAAAGGGATTTAGAGCCGAGACTTCACCTGACTGGAGGTTCCCTGGGAGGGTAGGAAGGAGGGGGCGGGGCAGGAGGAGAGATGCAGTCACAGCGCACGCCTCAGAAGACAGACCCCTGAGTGGGCACAGCAGGGGTTCCTGTCTGGAGACAGCTCTGCCTGTGACATGCCTGTGCTGTGCCATTAGTGCGCATGCGGGGTGGCCAAGGATGATGGGAGAGGTGTTGGTACCAGAGGGCTGTGCCAAGTACTGGGAGGCTCAGGCCTCCTGGGGCAGGGGTCCTCCCGGAGCTGGTGCTCAAGGCTCTGTGTTCCTGCTGGGAATCCCAAATGCCAAAGGAGAGGTTGGCTGCGGGAGGGCAGGCGACGCAGATCCTTTGAACTAGCTGATCTTGGCCATGCTGGGCCCTTGTCTGCCTCCTCAGATGGGTAATTAATCACCGGTAATGGGCTGGCTGCAGAGATTTGGGGAAATGAGCCCAGCTGAGTGGTGGCTCAGAGCCTCTTAATAGCCATCCCGATGCATTATGAGTGAACACCCAACTCCTACCGTGCATGGGGCCGGGCAGGCTAGATCCCAAGTGGGCATGCTTGAAGGAGCAAGTGCCAGGGCTGGGAGGGTGGCAGGGAGGAAATGGGTCCATGGTCTCACTGGCCCCTCTCTCTGCACTGCGTGCCCTCGGAGCCTGGATGGCCAGGCCTGTCTCCCCAGCTAGTTTCACCCAGCTGGGTGAACATCTTTCCTGTCATGTTTTATGGCACTTGCATTTCCAAAGGGAAGATGCATTGCCCCTCTCTCGCTGCAGATAAGGCCTCTGCTGCTCCTTGCATTTAATTTATAGCCCCATCCACCATAAACCTGTCTGGGGCTGCCTTTAAATTCTCCCTCCCCCTGGCATTTGGCTCTTAGTATTTTCCAGTCATCCCTCCCTTTCTGTCTGGCTCGGCACTTTCCCACTCTCACTGGGCAGGTCTGTACTCTCGCCCGGGGCCCCAGCGCCCACCCCTGCCCCTTCCCAAGGCTGCCCTCTGGAGCCCTCTGACCCCGGCCCTCCGCCTTCTCCTCCTCCCTCCAGAACCTGGAGAAGCAGATGCGCCAGCTGGCTGTGATCCCACCGATGTTGTACGATGCTGACCAGCAGCGCATCAAGTTCATCAACATGAACGGGCTCATGGATGACCCCATGAAGGTGTATAAAGACCGCCAGGTCATGAACATGTGGAGCGAGCAGGAGAAGGAGACGTTCCGGGAGAAGTGAGTCCCCCGTTGCTGGGGTGTGGGCCCTATGGCCCTCTTGGCCCTCTCTTGTCCTGGGAAGCCCTTCCTGTCAAGGCATGGATGGGATTCCTGGGGCTGCCGTGATGAATGACCACAAGCCAGGTGGCTTACAGCAACAGGAATTTTCCCTCACAGGTGTGCCAGGCGCAGGTGTGGGCAGGGCTGGGTCCTTCTGGAGGCTCCAAGGGAGAATCTGCTTGGCACCTCTCCCCTGGCCCCTGTGGGCTCCCGGCAGCTGGCATCATTCCTTGGCTGCATCATTCCCTCCTGCCTCCATCCCATGGTCTTTCCTGTGTGTCTCTCTGTCCCCATTTGTACTGGGTACAGGGCCCACCGTAATCCAGTGTCACTGCATTGTAACTAATCACATCCTCAGAGAACTTGTTTCCAAATAAGGTCACATTTAGAGGCTCTGGGTGGATGTAAAATTTGGGGCATGCTCTTCAACCTAGTACAAAGTGTGAGGGCAGCCTTATATGAAATGGGGCCATGTATATCAGAAGAACAAGGCTGGAGGATCTTGGAGGCTGGGCCAGAGGGCAGAGATTTGTGGCTGGCTGATGGCTCTTTGGTTTCCATTTTACTCTGAGAGTGATTGTTGAGCATGTCCTCTATCCCAGACACAGTGCACATGTGTTTTGGGTTTTGTGAGTTTGTCCCTCTATCCCTCATAATAGCATTGCCAGGCCATTCCAATTGCACAGGTGAGGAAACAGAGACTCAGAGAGGTTAAGACACTAAATGAAGGCCACACAGCCTATAAACGTTGAGGCAGGCTTTAGGCCTCATCATCAGGGCAAGGGCTCAGCAGCAGGGGAGAGGCTTGTTGGGGAGGGAGATGGAGCCATGGGGCAGGGGAGATTTGGAAAGCAGAGGCAAGAGTTGAGTGCTAAGAGGTGAGGCTCAGAGCTTCTAAAAGGAAAGAGCCACAAGACTGGAGTGTTTTGGGGAGATGAGTGAGGAGTTGCCAGATGGATAAAACCCTGTCTTCTCAACCAAACTCAGAAGTTGTATCCAGGGGCCCACACAGGTGCCAGGCACAGGCCCCGGAGAGGTGGGAGGGCGGGAAGCGAGGCTTGGGCAGAGGCCTCAGAGCTTGGGCAGAGGCCGCAGAGTTTGGCCAGCAGGGTACATTGGAAACAGACTCTGCCTGCTTAGCGGCTGGACCTCCACCTCTGCTTCCCGAGAAGGCCTCATGGCCAGGGGACGAAACTCCTATTCTCCAGCCACCGCTGTGAGCCAGGCCAGGGTCAGGCCCCCAAAGTGCCTGCTGGGCCTCAGGGACGAGGATGATTCTGGGTAATGGGCAACACAGATGGGGTGGGGGGTGGTGTTCTAGCTGCACAGACGCCAGGACACAAAAGTGTAGGAGCAGTTGATGAGGGTCTGGGCAGGAGAGTTGTGTTTTTCAGAAAAGCTTATGAGTCTGGAAATTCTAAAACATCTGTAAGAAAAAGAGGGGTAGTATAACAAGGCCTCAAGTGCCTGCCACAGACTGAGCAGTTTTCAGGGAATAGCACTTTGGGGAGTGGGTCCCAGGGGCGTTTGGGGTTAACTCCTTGGAGACAGAAAACCTAGTTGCTTGGGGCTCATTTCTTGGTCCTTATGATCCCCAGTGCGATCGTTCTGGTGCATAGTCAAGTCCCCAGGGTAAGCGATGGTATAATTTTAGTGAAGGGCCGCAGTCACGGGTGCTAAGAATTACTGTGGTGTTAGGGATCTAAATACTCCATGATATGTTTGACATTTTTATTTATTTATGCTTTCTTTTAAAAAAAATAAGGGTGCTTCTGGTGTGTTTTCTGTGTTCCAGCTTTTCTGAAGAGTTCATGTTTGCTCTTCTCACCTAATGAGTTCATTGTTATTTCAGAAGAACAGGGCAGCCAGGGAGGGGCTCGCTGGGCTCCTATCCGCTGAGCCTCAGCTTCGTGCCATGCATCTTTCCGGGAGAGTGTTCCTGGTCAAGGCCTCATTTTCCAAAGAATCGATGGCACTCAGGCCTCTGGAAATCACGTGCCAGTGGCATAGAGCCCCACCATTTAGTGGCTTAGTCCCCTCCAGTAGCCACTTCTCCTCTTGGAGCCTCAGTTTCCACATCTGTAAGATGGGTATAGCAACAGTGCCTCCCTTGTTTAGCTGCCGAGAGGTGCCCAGTGGGTAGGAAGTTCTTAGGAAGCATTGGCAGAGGATCCAGGGCTAGGATGGAGGGCACTGGAAGAGGTGAGCTAGATAAGGTTTCCAGGTTTGAAATCTGGTCTCCTGGGACCCCATCTCTCCTTGGGGAAACCTTGAGGAACGGATCTAGAGGGGAAGGAAATGTCACTGGGGCAGGGAGAGGAAGGGGACTGTCTGGAAAAGAAGGGCGTTCGGCTGGCTCCAGCTTTGCATGCTGCCTGAGGCAGGATCCCAGGCGGGGAAGCCTGCCACTCGACTCTAAGCTTCCTCCTGGAAGAAAGAAGAGGCCATTCCGGATTCTCTGGTGTCTGCTTGGGGAGCAGGGGAGGGGCCTGTTGGCCTTCTGCCCAGCCATCTGGAGGGCCGGGCGGGAGAGCACCGGGCGCTGGCCCAGGCTCCCTCAAGGGGACTGGGGCCCCCGCCTCACCAGCAACTCCTTCCCTCCCCGGGGGAGGCTGTGAGGCGGTGGCGCGTCGTGGGGACCCACCGGCAGGCCAAGGCTGGGTCTGGGCCAAGGACTCCACCCAGCATCCCTAGGGCCTCAGCGGCCGTGACCCACATCTCCGCCCCCACTGCCCGCCTGCTCCTGTGGCCCTGACATTTCAGCCTTGCCGAGCCTTTCCCAGTAATTCCGCAGGCTTCGCAGGAAGCCACTTGGTGGGGTGCCAGCTCCCCGCACCCTCTCTGGTATAAGTCCTTTCTTGCCGCCTCCTTGCGGGCACCCGGAGCCTGTGCTCCCGCCTTGCCCAGGGAGGCCTGCAGCTCGCCGCCTGACTTGTGGTCTGGCTGTGGGGGCCCGCGTGGGCTGGGTGAGGCCCGGCTTCCCAGACCCGGCCGGAGATAGAAACAAAGGCAGATTTTAAAAGGGGGGGAACCCCACCAAAGAGCTGCATGCAATGTCCTCATTTTTCCTGGAAGCTGCCTCCAGCAGGACAAACAAATATATTTTCAAAGGCGCTAAAACCAGTGACTCACTCCAAGGAACGCCCTCTCTTACCCTCGGCCCGCCCGCCCTTCCCACACCCCCCTGGGCTTAATTGCTCCGAGTGGGGCGGCGCCCGCCCAGCCGGGCCCGCGGAGATGGCAGGCGCCCGGGTGCTCGGCGCCTGCCCAGCTGGGAAGCCCCCTGTGCCTGGGCCTCATGCCCGCCCTTCTCCTTCCGCAGGTTCATGCAGCACCCCAAGAACTTCGGCCTGATCGCATCGTTCCTGGAAAGAAAGGTGAGTGGCCACCCCCAAGCGCAGCCGCCAGCCCAGCTGCCCCACCCGCCCCGCCACCTCTCTGGGGTCCACTCTGATGGGCGACCGTTGGCCCTGGGGCAGAGGACCCTCCCTCCCTGCCCACGGAGCTTGCCCCTGTTCTGTCTGTCTGTCCTTCCCTGCTTCCCCCCCCTCTGTCCTCCTGCTCCTTCCTTGGAGAAGCAGCCGTGGGCCCCGCCCCTGCCATCCAAGGGGGTGGAGCACCAGCGAGGAAACCCCAGGAGAGCTGAATGCACCCGGCTTCCCTGGAGCTAGCTCCTCAGACGTGGCACCAGCGTCCTTGCACGTTGGGCATGGGTTCTGGAAGCCATGCTGTGCCCGGCGTCCCCGTTAGGGTTTTATAGGCAAGAGTGGCATTCTTTCAGGGGGCTGCTCCCTCTGATGGTCACGGTATGCTTTCTGACACCAATGCCAGCCAGGCCTGTGGTCTGTAAGTCCTCATCCTATTTGGATAGACCTTTGTATAGAACTGCCACTTGAACCTTGCCTTGCCCCCAAACCCAGAGCAAGCCAGTGCCCCCTCTCGCTCTGGCTCCTACCTGGCAGGTGGACAGAGTGTCCTAACAGAATGGCAGAGACCTCCTTTGCACTCTTCACTCTTTATTAGGTGGGGCAGTGCTGGGAGTGGGGGGAAGCTGGGTTGGATCTGGATGAAACCCTGTGTGTTGGCCTTGGCCCTGGGAACCCTGGTGTTGTTGGGCAGAGCAGGAAGGGCTCCAGCCAAGGTTTCCTTCTGGGCTGCAGTCATGGGTGTTTTAGGCCACACTCCTTTGAATCAGGTTTGTCAGAGAGAAGGGTCATCTGCCCACCCTCAGCTTTGCTAATACCCGTCTGCTGGAGGCCTCATGCTTTTTAGTTGAGAGAGGGCCGTCTGAGCAGGAGCCAGGCGGTTATTTTAAAGTTGAACAGTTGTCCCCGACATCTGTCCTTAATGAGCTGATAACCATAGAAGGAGGGAGATGGGGCAGTGTGGGGAAACGGAATCTCTCCATGCCTGAAAAACCAGCATGGGAAAGCAAGCCCTATAAATAGCCTTTCGTCTGAGTTCATGATGGCTTCATGCTGGGGGTGTGGACAGTCCAGGAGGCTCTAGGTCAGGGCTCCCCAGGGATGGACGCAAGGCTTTCAGAAGTTGGTCCTTGAGCAGCATTGCTTGGGAATGGGAGAATCAGAGTCTTTACCCTGGAGAGTAAACTTTTTGGTGTACTTTGGCTAAGAGGCAGCTCAGGATAGGAGTTAAATAGAGCTTCCAGAAGGATCTAAAGCAGGGATTGCCAATGGTGCCCCATGCCCTTGGGGAGAGGCATGTTCTGAGTGAGGCCAGCAGCAGGGTGGGAACTTGCCCACCTGCAGGGACAGCTGCTGCGTAGGGTCAAAGTCAGCCTGTTGTCCTCCAACATGGAAGGCGCTCCCCTGAATTGTTCAAGGGGAAGTCGGACACCCACATTGCCCAATTTGCAAATACTGGTGTCTGATAACATAATGATTTTCTCAACTGCTGTGTGGGCCCCATGGGGGGGGCCAGGTTTACCTGGGAAGTAGCCTCTGTTCATGTACATTCTAGGAGGTGTCAAAGACCGTGGGGTTTGAGGCCCTGCCTGCCTCTGCCCCCAGCAGCCTTGACAGGATGGTCCTCAGAGGCGAGCTGTCATCTGGAGCTGGTTCAGGGTCGCAGGTGGCAGGCACCACCATGTTGAGTCTCATTGCTTTGAGGACACCCTGTCATTGGTCCTGTTTGGGCAAGAAGGTGGTGGGGTTCAGGGAGGGCCAGTCACAAACTCAGCAAGTGGCACCAGGGTTCAGACCCAGATGGGTGTGGAAAAGACCAAGGCAGAGAAAATTATAAACATTCCGAGAGACAAAGAGTTGCTTGGGGACATTATAGTCTGGATGGGTCACAAAGCTTGGAAGAGGTTACTCAGGGCCCCAGATGTTCGGGAAGAAGAAGCTGGACTGAGAAAGGAGACCCAGGCCCAAGTTGGGGCAGACCTTTGAGTTTGCCCGGCTGGGAGCTTGGAGGGGCTGGAGAGGGCAGGTGACCCCTTGGCTGTTTCAGTTATGGATAGCAGCAAGAGCAGTAGGACCAGGTGGCACTTCTGTAGCATGTCCCAAGTGCTCCATCTTCATGATTGCTCTGGCAAGTATGTGCTCTGAGCATCCCTGTTACACAGGCGAGAAGGCTCAGTGACCTGCCCAAGGTCACCCTGTTCTGGGTGGAGGAGGCAGGATTTGAACCCAGATCTCCAGCTCCTGGCCACCTGCTCTGACCACCCACACTGTACACAGCATCATTTTCTTTCTGTCCTACAGACTGTGGCTGAGTGTGTCCTCTATTACTACCTGACCAAGAAGAATGAGAACTATAAGAGCCTGGTGAGGAGGAGCTACCGGCGCCGCGGCAAGAGCCAGGTGAGAGGCAGGGCAGAGTGGTTAACTGTGGGACCCGTTCCCAGCATGCTCCTGTGCGGCCATTTGCGAGATGGGTGGTGACCATCTGCACATGATGCCCTGTAGCAGGCTCCCTCAGTTTGGGCCTCCTCACTGATGGCCAGGAAACCCTCTCTGGGGGTGTTTGGCCTACCCAGGCAGCGCAGAAGAGTATTAGGAGAAAGACTACTTCCATTCTCAGCCTGGAAAATTCTAGAACTCCTGGCTTGGTGAATCATGATCTCTGTGGTGAACGGGTCATATCCCCAGAGTGAGGACTGGGTTCTCTGCATGACTGGCTCACAAATTTAACATTTGAAAAATGTTTATAGTTTTTTTTAGCGTGTTTTTATGCATATTTGAAAGCAAAAAATAGCCAGTACATCAACTTGAAACCTTTCAGACATCACTGTTTAGGATGAGACTTATGTTAGGGAGGGCTTGGCAAGCTATGGCTTGTAGGCCAAGTCCTGTCTACCCCTTCTTCTGTGAATAAAGTTTTATTGACACACAGTCAAGTCCATTCATTTGCATATTGCTGTGGCAGCTTTTCTATTACAGCAGCAGAGTGGAGTAGTTACGATAGAAACTATAAAACCTGAGGTATGTACTGACTGATCCTTTCCAAAAAATGCTGACCCCTGAGTTCGAAAGCAAGGAGTTGGTTTTAAACAACATTTGGCAAATAATGGTAAAGATGGTGGGGGTCTGTAACACAAGGTGAAAGGAGGCGCCTGGGTAATCAGTGCTTGGGAGACAGGGAGAGGGGATGGATTCACTTCACTTCCAGGCCATTGAGCATTGGCTCAGGGCAGGTGCTGGGAGTACAGGACTCAGGGAAGAGGTGGGGTTCCACCATTGGAGGACAGACTTGGGGTGGGCATGCAGACTTTGCATGCAGCTTTGGGGTGCTGCTGTTCGAAGCTGCTTGGAGCTGGTGGAGGCGTGTCCTTCCTGGGCCCTTTGGCCTGGGTACCAGGGAAGTGTGATGAAGGCCAAGAGTAGCAGAAGCTGGGAGGAGAAGGTCCTGGGGTTTTCTCCCTAATGTTGGCGTCTTCTCTTCCCCACACTGGTCAGGGCAGGGTCCTGAGGTATCACGCGTAGCCATCCTCGCTGGGGTCCTGGTACCCACTGTGAAACAGCCACTTTGTGATCGGGTCCCACACATGGGTTCTTAACTGGCATCTTTCTCCTGTGCTTCGGGGAATTGTGCTTCTGCAGTGTGGACCCACCTCCTTGTTGGCTAAGCCACAGGTAATTAAGGGAGCAAATTTGTTGACGGGGGAATAAGTAACCCCTCTCTGCACTCATGGGTAAATAATCAGGACTGAGTATTGGTTCTCACGGGCTGGGTCATTGAAGCGTGAGTGTGTTTAGTTAGTTGATGGATAGGTTTTTCCTTGAGTGTTGTGTGGCCACGGTTGGCCAGCCTGTTGGCCCATCTAACAGGTGTGTAAAAGCGAGTCTTACTGGCTTGGAGCTATTTAATTCCAAAGAGCTAGCTGTGGTGTTTTAGAAATTAAAGCACAGTCAGGGATTTTCTAGGCTGAGAAGCACAAATGCAAATAAATTCCAGGCAGGGAGCATAAATATGCTGAGGCATGAGAGGCAATAGGGAATGGTGGGGTCTGTGGCAAAATAGAGGGGGAGCTAAAGGCCTTTAGCATTATTTAAAAACCGTCATCAGAGATTTGCTGAGCACCTACTATGTGCCAGTTCTCCTACTAGTCTTCCCAGCCCTTGTGCCTTCACCCTGCTTTTGTGGGGTCACTGTGGCTGGGCTGAGGGATCTGGAGGAGAAGGGGTTCTGACTCAGATGGGGAGAGCCATGGAGGGAGATGAGGACTAATGTGTGTTGAAGTCATTTAGGGAGGGGGGAACCCCAGACAAGTCCCAGGATGTGTGTGGGTGTCCGTGTCCTGCATCTTTGGTTCTGGCTGCCATGCCTTTCATTCTGTGGTGTTAATTCTGTTTATGGGACGTTTGTATGCTGGGAATAGGGATCTCCTTTGGTTATATTGGCGGTCTGCCTGAGAGTCTCCATAGAGTAGAGACCCTCAAAAATGAGTTTAAGGAGCAGCCTCTTGTTGGACCAGAACAGAGGTGAGGGTGTCCTGGTCAGAGGGAAGAGCAGGTGCAAAGGCACTGGGGCATGAGAGAGCACAGTGCCCTCAGAGTATTTGGACCAGGGGTCTTAACACCTTCCAGGCTCTTAAATAAATGAACAATTGGAGAAAAATGATGGGACCCTGGTTTTTGCTCATATTTGATGAGTGACTAGTAGTGTTTCTGTACTCTATGGAAAATAGAAGCACAAATGTGATGGTATGTGGCAGCTCAGACTTGATCTCAGCTTCTGTGAGAGGCCACAGTGGTGAGGCCTGTAGCCGGCATAGAGAACTTGTGCCCCATGTCTGCCCCAGCTGATGTTCAGCCAAGTGGCCTCGTACTGCCAGTGCTGATTTTTTTTTTAATTTTTTATTTATTTTTGATAGTTACACACACACACACAGAGAGAGAGAGGCAGAGACATAGGCAGAGGGAGAAGCAGGCTCCATGCACCGGGAGCCCAATGTGGGATTCGATCCTGGGTCTCCAGGATCGTGCCCTGGGCCAAAGGCAGGCGCCAAACCGCTGCGCCACCCAGGGATCCCTGCCAGTGCTGATTTTTGATGATGAGCTGGAGATCGGAGTTTATGTGAAATTGTCTGAGTTTTCAATCTTTGGTTGCATGAAAAACAACAAGACATTGACGGTAGAGACCAAATAACTTGTTTGCTCCTTTTTTTTTTTAATTAAGTTCTTAATTTTAAGGCCAGTTTAATTTAAACCTGTTAATTCCAGGTGTGCAACATAGCGATTCTACAATTCTTACGTTACTCAGTGCTCATTTTGATAAGTATATTCTTGATCATATTTGCTTTCCATCTGTCCTCAGCCCCCAGTATTGAGAGTAGGGCTTAGGTGGGGGCAGTAAAGAGGGAATTGTTTGACTTGGGGCAGAGGCCAGACCAGGCAAGGCCAGGGCGCCGGGGAGCCCTAGAATGTTTTATAGCAGAGGAGAAACATCTGTTACCTCTCTTTGTCTGCATTGCCTTGGATTAGCCATAGTGTCTGCACTGCTTCTCTGGTGAGGTTTTGCCCTCTGCCCAAGCCAGAGCCTCAGGATGGAGAAAGGATGCCTCTGTGTTCTGCCTCTTGAAAAAAGACAGGAAGAAGCTGGCAGAAGGTCCCTGTCTCCCGGGAGATGGGACATAGCGGGGAGGCTCACCCCTCCCTCTCATCAGCCAGGGATACTGGTGTGCCTCTGAGACCCAGGCCCTGCCTGGGATGGAGATACATGGGCACATCCTGGACGGGCTGCTGTGCCCGTCAGACTCACTGCCCTCACCACCACCCACTGGCCCTGTTCGTAAATATGGAGTAAGTGGATCAACGCAAGTGTTGACTTTGGGGCTGTAAGTCTTTTCTCTGCCCCGTGACAGTGAAATAAATGGCAGACCCAGGTCCCTCGGCCCCTCTCATGAATCTGAGATGCAATTCCTGCTGGAGTCCAAGCTTCCTTATTTCTCCTTGGTTTTACAAAACTTGTGATCCTGCTGGTAAATCTCCCAATGAGGAGAGTAGGGATTCCCACAGCCTGGCCTGGAGTGGGCAGGGGTGTGTCCGTGTGGGTGCCTCCAGTTGCATGGACAGACGGGCGCAGGAGGTGGTGGTCTCCCACGGGCTGAGAACAGGAGACTGGGAGCAGACAGGAGAGGCTGCAGAGACCCACTGCATGCCCAACCAGCGGGTGAGAAGGGTGTGGGGACTGCGGAACGGCTGCGCCCAGATGACCTCTCTGCTGCCTCATTCTTGTGTCTGACCAGCACACACCCCACCCCTGGCAGCTCTGGGCCTTGGCAGTCTTAGGCTCCAGCGCACGAGTCCCACCTTGTGTCCCCTTCCCTTTGCCCATTTCCCTGTCCCGACTCTCCTATCTGTGTGGGCTTCTGAGTAAAGAGCCTAGCCTTTTATTTCCACCCCGGAGACGGCCCCCTCACCTCCCTGAGCAGCCACAGGAAGACAGACATTGGGTGGCCTCGGGGGCAGAGCCTCTGCTGCCAGGAGGTAGCCGCTCCCTTCCCCCTGCTCCTCCTCAGGTAGATGGGGGCTGAGCCATCGGTCATGTATTTATTTCTTGAGGGGAGCAAGTCAGGCTTTGCCCCACCTTCCTGGGTCCCTTTAGTTTTAGAGGAGGACTTAGTTGTCTCAGCCAGTATTTGCCTTGTTGGGGAGTTGCTAGGAGGCCAGCGAGACAGGGGAGCCCTGTCAGAATTGCCAGGCACTGGCCTTGCAGTGTGATGGGACAGCGACACTGCTGGCCACTCACTTGGCACCAGGATCGGTGTGAGGGGTGGATACCATCATCCCTGCTTTATGGGTGAGCAGGTAGAGGTTCAGGGAGGTGAGGAACCTGCTCTTAGTGTCATAGTCAGGATGCTAACCCAGCACAGACTGCCATGGGAGCCCAAGGGCAGGGGGGACCCTGGTGGTCCCATTTGTCACGTTTTGGCCGTGGAAGCTGCCCCTCATTGACCTTGTCGGCCTGTAGGTTCCTTGGTCTGTTGTAGGCTCTGCTGCATCAGGGAGCAGATGGACCTTGCTGTGGGTGGGAGTGCTCCCCTGAGCCCCCATCTACATCATGGCACCAGGCCTGTCTGGGTCTCCATCTCTGCTCCCTAGGAAGCTGTTATTGGCCTCATGTGCACCTGGCTTCTGGGGGGCCAGTGGCTGGAAACACTGTCTCTCAGATCTCCTGTGCTCCCTGGACCGTGAGCGTCTCTGGGAGACACAGAGTGCTGTCTCTCTCTCTCTGACTCTCTTGCAGTCCCTCTTAGCACCCCCAGCTGCGTGCCTGTCCTTTCCTCCCCCTGGTGGCAGTGGCCGTGGAGGCTGTGGCATCTGTCTGTGGTTCCTGTGGCTTGGGCCCACACTGTGGC